TGCTGGCTCACTCGTTATATGAAAAATTGATATGGTTCTTTAAATTCAACATTTTCATTTCGTTGTATTCGATTTGATTTCGATGAAAAGAACGAATGTTGTTCACATTCGGATGACAACGTTTTTTTTTTTTGCATACGTGTGACATATCATCAAGTTCAGCAACTTTTTTTTGTGTACGATTCTCTCCTTGCAAGCGAAAGAAGAATGAAAGATATATATGAAACAGAAATATCGGCTGTAGCTTATGTCGCGTCACACACAACAGGGTTGCAATTGAGAGAACAGTTCGAAAAATTAGCCTTACGATTCAATTGCTATTATCACATCGCAAACACACACACATGTATATACACCTAAATTGAACGGTGAACACTGAACATATAAATGCCTCTTGAGATTTAATTAGGTTGCTCAAGCGCCAGCCGACCACACACACTTGCATTTTTGAGAACAAAAACGACACACACAAACTGATACATCTCGATTGAGCGCATAAATGATGTTCTATTCATTCGTTTGTTCACTCGTTGAATGAAATCATATACTTTTCTATGATCGATGATCTAATTGATGAGCTAAAACGTCGACCGAGAAAAAATGCACTAAACAGTGTATACACGCCAACGTACAATGGAGAATTGTTTTGGAGAGTCGGAGAAGCATCTTACTCATTGAAATGATTATTTTTCGAACGAAAAAAAAACCCATCAACCGAAGATTCAACGTTTAAGATCAAGATTGTTTTTAGCAGACAAAAAGTCGCGACTTATTCATGCATTTCTGATGAGCGAATATTGAATTGAACGGTTCGGCAATAATGTGATTTCTTTTAGAAGTAAAAAATATCAAACGAAAAACCTTCATGCCGTTTCGAATTGAATTCTCTTCAAATCAAAATCAATTTCAACATGAATTTCTAATTGGTCTAATAAATCGAATGCTCAATTTGAATTACCAAAGTTTGTGTTTGCCGCACAATGTACATAATGTGGTCATGAAATTAAAAAAAAACACACACACACTGATTACGCTGTGATTTTGTTTTCAACGAATCTCGGGCGCTCTTGATTAGCCTCGCGCGCATATTTAAGTTTCATTTTGTTTTGTGTTATTGTTGTTTTGCGCAAGCAGTTTGTGCAAATTGAACTCGAAAGAGCATACAAATCGAGTATATTGCGTTTTTTGTGCAGTATGTCTTGCAAATGCACATTGAAATGAAAAATCTTTGCTCTTGATTGAATTGGAATTGATAATGTATATATATTTCTGAACGGAGTGTTTGATTTTGAGCTTATAATTAGCGCACTACTTGTTGGCACTCCATAGATTGGCACTGACGCGGTAATTTTCATGTTTTTTTTCCTCTTTTCTCTTTTCATTTCGCTTTGCCACATTTTATTATGCATCAATTTTTGCTTACAAACGGACACATTTAAATGGTTTTATTTTTAACATAATTTTGCCATTGCAAAACGATCAAATTGATACTTGAGCAAATCGATCGGAGTACACAATACCCGTAATTAAAACAGAACACCAACCTTTTTTCTCTCTTCTTATTTCAAATTAAAATGAACGAATGAACAACAACAACAGTAGCAACCGAATTGAACGAAAAAAAACTGCCTTTTTTGGTTGAAGGTGTGCACACATTCACAGTGTCGATTATATACACATGCACAACTACATGCACCACGTGCACGCACAAAATACGCACATCTGTTTTTCGCATGAATTGTTTCGAATTGCAATAGCAATCGTTCTCAGTCTCTCTACCTATAGATGTATGGCCAATGTCAACAACTGTCAAATTAATGGCCTGGCAAAATGCATGCTGCTCGATTTGCACACGGTTTCGGTCAATTTGTGCGCATACAAAATGATACAACAACAATGAGGAACGTTGCAATTTTTTGCCGTGTCTGTGTACAAAATGCAAAACTTTGCACAAAATCCGGTTGAGCGAATGAACGTTGTTGTTTTTTTATTTATTTCGCAACCGATTTGATATCATTTTGTATAGTTTATTTCATTGCCATGTTAGTAGCACAAACACAAATTTTGACTCCTCATTTTGGATGAATTGCCGAAAAAACACATGCGATCGTCGTCACCAACAAAACAATTTCCGGAACGATTAGATATTTTTTTGTTGTTGTAAAGTTTTAGACGTGTGGTTTTGTTGGAGAATTTTTCGTATAAATTTGAATCATATGGGCAATTTTTTTTTGTAATCACAAAGAACCAAGAAATTTTATCACAACCGTAGGCGAAATTGTTGCCACATTATTATTATTAATTTATATTTTTTTTATTAATTTCAAAAAAGAATTTCAATGTCACCGATTTCAAATTTTTGTTCATCAAATGGAGGCTTTTTTAATTAACTTCCTTACTCACTTACAATTTGTTCGGATTTGATTTGGCTATAAATTTGTAACACAATGCGTCGCATACAGACTGAAACTGAGAGATTTCATATATTTTGTCTGTATGTCTTGGAATCGGTACGAGAGAAAAATATAAACTGTGAATCGATCACGAATGATGGCAATTAAACAAATATATATATGAACACACACACATACACAACAAACACACACTTTAAATACACAATCCCGAATTGATACTGAAACTGTAATGCGATGAGAGAAAGAAGAACGGTGTTGAGCGCAGTCAGCACATAAACAGTAAACGAAGCATCCAGCTTTTCGTTTTGTGTAGCAGGCGCGCACCACAACACACCGTTCAAATGCACCGGTCTCTTTCTTTTAAATCTTTCTTTCTTTCTCCGTCGCTTGTATTTATCGTCGTCACAATCTTGTTTCGTTTGTGCCAGTCGGCCGCTCTGTCTTTCTGCACATTGTTGTGAATAAGATGTTGTGTATTTTTTTTTTACTGTTGAATGTGTGTATTGGAATGACAATATGAGAGAAGGAAGAAGAATAAGAACAATTATGAGAACAGATGAAATGAAACCACAGATGATGAAGAAAAACGCACAGGCCCTATTTTCATGTGTGTTGTGCACGCAATTTGTGACAAGGGGAAAGGAAATTGACGACGGTGATGACGACGACGACGATGACGACGACACAAAAATAGATAGTAGATATAACACACATTTACAAATAGAACTAGAATCTGAACGCGCAGATGAAAAATATGTTGAAAAGTGCGTATTTTGTTTCACTTTTGAAAACACATGACAACAACAAACAACAAACAGCCACAACAACGACTACCGTTCAACCAAAATCGTTGAAAAATCAAGGTTCCACTCGTGTACACATTCTGCTAAATGTGCGACAGTGTGGATTGAAATGAAAATTCAGAAGAGGAATAAATCCAACTGCTACTGTTTCATTCTCTGTCCACGCAACATCAACAATTACGATGAAAATTAAGTCATTTTTCTTCTTCGTTTGTACATTACACACATTTCCCGAATTTATTGAGAGAAAAAAGAAGAAAAAACCGAATTTACATTGCAATGCATCCGACTGATGAAAGCAATCGAATAAGCGAAACCGTAAAAACACATTGAACAAATGCACGCACTTTAAAATTGAGTATGACTCGGTCTTTGTCTATCTCTCCCTCTCGTTTCGATTTTCGATGGTGCATTTAAATGTTGTTGTGTAATTTAATGTTTGTGTATACATATGTTTTCGTTCGGGGTACGGAAAACGAAGTGTGGCAACGAACGATTTTAAATTAAGTTTGTAATGCACATTGTGTTGTTAAAATATAGAAATAACAACATATGGACTTTTCAAAATACAATTTACACCGTTGAAACTGTAAAACTTAGAAAATCACGCGCGCACACACTCCCAAAATACCACAAAATGTACCTTTTTTTGTTCTTTTCAAATGTTCTAAGAAAAATCTTCGTCAAAATCTGTACGCAAAAACGGATGTATCGTTTGAATTTAAAATGATATTGTATTGCGCGCACGTTTAACTAAACGACGGGACATACACGGTTTGACGTCTTGTTATGTGGCAGGTCTGGACTATGACTACGGCGAATGTTTCAACATGAAAATCTAGTGTACACATACATACACTCTCTTTCTGTGATGATCGTATCAGTGTGGCGGCTGCTGTTGCCTTTTTCTGTTATTATTATTACTTTATTTTATTTTCATACTTATTTGCGTTCCGTTTCGAGGATACACAAAGTCTGTGTTTTCTTCTCTCTCTCTCTTGCTATTTCTCTCTCTTTCTACCTCCTTTGTTCAGGTTAACGACAGTAACACTTAAGCCGCGCCACTGCATCTTTCTATCGCGTTCAACTCGTGTATACTGATGTTTTACGATCATGCAAAACAATTTTTAACTTGCTTATGACCAGATTTAACCCTCTCTTGCTTTGTTCCCCAGCTGTCATTACTATTTATTAGAAAATAACATTTAAAACCGGAAAATCTATAAATTCAAAAGAAAATATGCATTCGCATTTCAAGTCGGTTTGTGGCCCTCTTTTGATTCTCGTTCCAGTATTGTTAAACAAAACGGTGCTGGAGATAGGGGGATAGCGAGAGAGTGTGAGTCGATCGATCGTTTCTTGTCTGGTAACGCACAGCTTTAAAAGAATTCGTGTGTCTCGCGTGTGTTTGTGTGTGCTGTTTTTGTTTTATGTTGCGGATATTGATCCATGCTGATTATTATCTTTACAACAGAGTCAATATCTCACACATGTGAGATACACTATATATATATGACATAATATTTAACTCCAAACCTGCTCACCGCTAAAAACATCGATGAAGTAATGCATTTTTTGAAAGTTCTCTTTTTTCAGTTGTTTTTGTTTTTAGTTTACTTCATTTTTGAATCATCATAACCAGTTGCTTTCTTTGTATACGTTTATACTGAATGAATTTTCAATGAGTCGCGTCCCATTTGGTTACCACATTTTTTTTCTTTCGTTTTAACTTAAATAAACTTGAAATTGAGAAAAATGAACAGAGTGTGAATTATGCACTTACCAACTTGCAGCAGATCATCACCACATTCATCCTCTTGACGTCTCGATCGTTCCGCTGAAATATTTATTGAACAAAAATAATCAGTTAGATCAATGTGTTTTCAATTTTTTTTCTTGTCTCTTTTCAATGATAAATGTGAGGAAGAACGTGAATCAAAGATGTTTAAAACGAAATAAATAAACGAATTATTGAAAATAATTCAATTTTATGTACATTAATCAACTATATTTGTAAAAACAACAATTAAATCTTTTTTTTTTTCAAACCAAATAAATCACAATTAAAACATTGAACCGATGAAATAAGAAGACGGCGTTGCCGAAATTCTTACCGGGATTAAAGTAGTGTGTTGGTCGTATTTTTTCAATAAATTTGCTCATTTTATCATTTTTCGTTGGTACCGGACCTGGGCAACTTTCTTCCAATATACGCGAGCATGCTCGATGAATGTTCAATTCACAATTCGTACAATGATAACCTTGTGGACTGACACCCCAAATGATATTTTGACAATGATTGCAATGGGCCACTTCATAATACTGTTTAAGGACTAAATGATGACCTCGCACCATAATTTTACGATTTTTTCCAATCAAACGGCTCTTAAAACTCTTTTCACGGCTCACAAAATGATGAACACGTTCAATTGGTCCGCCCGGTGTTGAACGCGTTATCAAAAATGTGCGATGCAATACGGTTGACAATGCCGATGATAATGCCATCTTTTTCGGACATTCATTCGATGCATCTTTTTCCAGGTCGTCAACGAGCTGTTGCAACTTTGGCAATAGAGTTTCTTCAACAATTCGCTGTTCACGCACCTTATCACCTTTGGCTTCATGCAATTGTTGATCACTTGGTCCAAACATTGTACCCAAACCGGCCGTTCGTTTCGTTTGGAATTCGGCCAATTGTTGAACGATACATTCTTTGGCACGTGCTCGACCTTTGTAAAAGATTTTCCGCAAAATTTCACCTTTATCATGTTCATTTTGTAGTACATTGTCCACTTCGCGGGCCAACGATTCATCAACACCTTCCCACATAAGTGGGGCACGTGGCACCAAAAATGTCGAATGAATTTCATATGCCCATTTTCGCATATCTTTGACGGTGCCTTCTTTGTATAGACCTGTTATTAAATAGAATAATAACTGCGATGGATTCGAATTGGATAGAACAAAATTTAAAAACACTGCCAAATATAGTGAGTTCTCTGGTTCAATCAACTGTTGCAAGGATTTGAATGGTCCATGATCATCTGTTTTTTAAAAAACGAAGAAATTAGCCACATTCGCTTACAATGAAAATCTTATCAAAATAAATGAAATAATAATTTACCGCTTATTGAATCTTGATCATCGACCAATTCATCGTCTTCCATAGAAATGATTTGACGTTGTAAAATGTTTGCTTGGGCCGCTGATATGTTGCTACCATTTGCACCGAACGATGTGGCCGATGATGTTGATGTATTGAATATACTTTCATTCAACATAAATTCATCGTGTTCACTCAAATTGTGTGCATTCGGATTATTTTGTACTGAATCATTTGAACACGGTGTTGATTGGAAATAATTGCGTTTCGGCACCATTGGATGTTGTTTAGCGTCGCTTGTGGATTTTGTTTTGTTTTTATATGGCGGCGGGGGAGTACCTGGTGGCGTCGTTTCGTCATCTGTATATTTGCAAAATGAAAAAGATCAAATTGAAAATCGAGAGAAAGAGAAAAAAACAGATACACAAAATTATTTTCAGCTTTTTGTTGTTGTTGTTGTTTTTTCTTTTAAAAAAAAGAAGGAAAATTTCATTTGGTCGTAAATCATCGTCCAAGTGCTGTGAACTTACCAAACGTGTCCGAATCACGGGAATGTAAATGCTGTTCTGGCGATGATACAACGCGACGATGTGGTGACGTATTGTTTAGCTGATTAATTTGATGTGGTGTCAAGCCAAGAGCCTGCAAAATCAATTTATTATATTGGATTAGTTAGATGTGGATCGAATTGCAAAATGCATATGGACATTATAAACACAAACGACGAGGTGAAAAACAACAATGCGATTGAATGAGATGGGGAAAAATAGCAACCAACAAATTGTGTCGGACTTTCGTCTTCACAATAGACTGATTCAAAATGACATTCAGAACATTGTTGTTTCTTACCTAGGTAAGTGTTTCTTTTCTTCACTCGATCATAAGAAAACAGACAGAATGTAAAAAAAACAAATCAAGATGATATTAAGCTTAAAGCACATTACCACGACATATAAAAGTACAACAACAATAAAAAAAAGTACAAACCAACAAAGCAAAATTGATGAGAAAAATTGAAAAACAAATATTTATTATTAATTATTATTGGTGGTGCTCGGGAGCAGCAGCAATATCAACAAAACACACACACAATAATAACAACAACAACAAATGCTCAAATGAATTATACAAAAATAAATAAAAGTAACAAACCCTACGCATACACACTGTACGTCAAGCATTAATCATAATTGGTTTGTAGCTTTTGTTTTTACTCTCTCTCTCTCTCTTTCTCAGAGGTATCTAGTAAGTTTTGTTTATTGTAAAATCCCACATCTCATTAGTGGTTTTTGAATGGAACATTTGCGCATTTCCAAAGGTGAAGGGAAACGTTATAATCGTCACCTTTTAAATTCTCTCAACTGCAGATCGGGAAGATCAAAACTTATGTTATACATGATTATGCTTCAATATATTTCACATAATTTTGTCAGTCGAAGTTATTTTTCCCGACATATCTGTCAAAGTTTACTACCTCTGTATTTTCAATTTCTTTCTTTCGTGCATCTGCATCAATCAAATTTAAAAAAAATCCGAACGAATCAAAACACGAAACTCACACTCATTTGATTCGAATTCGATTGTCATGCTTGTTGAATCTTTGAACATCATTATTGTCAAAAAAAAATAATAATAATAAATTGACGCTCGTAAAAAATGACGACATCATTTACGACATTCGTCGGGAAAAAAAGTCGCGTCAAAGTGGAAGTGATTGATTTGGAGCCAATGTGATGTTTTTTTGTCGAGTGCGAAAACTGCTTGCCCACCCACACAAATCTTTCAATTCGAATGATTTACATGTGAGAAAACAGAACAAGACAAGAAGATCGCCTGAAAAATCGATCGCTGTGAGTGAGAGACAAATTTTACATGCACTACAACTAACTTACTACTGCACACATGCTTTCTCATTGAACCGACAGCAAAAAAACCTAGGGGATATCCATGCGAATTAGAATTAGCACATTAGCAAAAAATAGGGAAATTTACATGAAGAAAATAGCAAAATTAGCAATAAATAGCAGAATTAGCACTGTACACGTATATACTTTAGTAAGCATTTATTCTTGAATATATTGAAATAATTAATTAAAATAAAATTCACAAAACAAACGAATTGAATAGTATTGAACTAAAATGTATCAAAATATGTAGTTAAATACGCTTTTTCTCATTTTTAAATAAAAATATATTCAATGGCACGTAACCAAGCACGTTTCATCTGTATTAACTACAATTTACGAATTGCAATCGGAAATGTAGATTTGATGACAGATTTCTTACTGAAAACGTATACGCTAGTGCCTGCTTCAAATATACACGTTGAAAGTGTCAACTTGAAACATTTACGTAAACACATTTCAGTTATTCGATCATGCTGTCAATCTGACGTTTGCAATATTTTTGACGTACTAGAGAAATTAGCAAAAAATAGCAGTATTAGAACAAACTAGTAGAAATACTAGCAGAATTAGTGAAAACTAGAGAGAAATAGCGTTTATTATTATAAATTATTCGATCTGCAATTCACGGTTATCCCCTAGAAAAAAACACTTCTTTTTACAAGAAACGAAAAAAAAAACATTGTGTATCTAATAAAATGTAAGGTGACTATTTTTATCTATACTGTTCTACGATTCAAAGTTGTCATTTTTTTTACATGAAGAGTTTGACTCATTTGAGAATTACTCACTATGACAATTGTCATTAAATAATAAATGTTCACTATCATTTTCTTCGTTTCAGTTATTAGAAAATGTATGTTCATGATGCGTGCTAAAAATGGAACCCAGTGGAAATGAAAAAAGGGAAAAAGTGTTGCAAAAGAAACCGAGAATGAGACAGATGATGGTGTTGACATACCGTTAATATTTAGTTATTTTTGGTGGTTATTTTTGGATTAATCATTTGCTTGTTAATCAATTAGCATGATTGTGTTTGTGTGCATGTGTTTAAATAAGTGAAAAGCAACGCAATAAATCCTTTGCCAAAAAAAAAAAACAAATTCAAACGATACTGAATCATACGATCTTCAAAATACAATATGTTGTAATGTTTTCACAGTAATCTCAAAAGAGATGCGATATGTGTTTTCTCTATATTTTATCCGACCAAAAGAAGCCAATAATTTTGAAATCGTTCAACTTATGGCCTAAACCTTGATACCATAAAACGTTTCATAAAATCGTAAATCATAAATAATCCTGAACGAATGAAAACGTGCGATTGCGATCGTAAGCTTCATCTTCTTTCATTTATACCGATTTTCTTTCATGCAAAATATCCATTTTATATTTGTGAATTATAAATGTATGGTGAAATGTGATCAAAACAGATCAACACAAAAAAAATGAAATCGGTTAAAAACTCCCATAAAACCCCAAAAACAGAAAATTCCCGGCAAATAAACAAATCCAACGACTTCTTTCTTTTCAATCATGTGAATTTAATTCTATGAGACCAACTACGTAATAATAATAAATAATAGACGTAGAATTCGGAAATGGTTTTGTTTATTGGCAAGGTTGTTGGATAGTTGGTGCTTTCGTGCAAAAATGTTTGTTGCTTGTGTATGGCGGTGTGTGTGTGTATGTGTGTGTGTGGTTTGATATGCTTGTGCGAAATGGAAAAACAGATTTGTTAGAAATTCGTTCAAATTCTAATATAAATATACACGTGTAGGACGAAGAAAAAAAAATCTGTCCAAATCGGCCATGATATTGATTTTCTATGAACATTTTGTTGTTGTGATTTAATTTTTTTTATTTCGTTTTATTCATTTATGTCTGTTCGTGTGTTCGATAGTGATATATTTTCGAATTTGGTAGATTGATAGACCGATATACTGGTTACTTACATGTTGATGCGTGTTTGATTGTTGCAAACGTTGCCGTATATTTGGGCGATTCGATAGTGGGAATGGTGAAATGTTGTCACGAACGGCTGTCGCCGTTGCAATTAACGGATAATTCATACGTGTTTCAAGACTATTTGATGGTGGCCGCTGCTGCTGTGCAGCATTTGAACCGCATTTATTATTGTTGATAAAATTTTGATTTTCTTCGAGCATGCCCGGTTGACGTGGCGGCAATGGTGGCGGTTCATTTGCAATCGAATGTCCAGTCGCTGCAATTAAATCTTGTTTGTCATATTCACGTTGTTCCATTTGGATAAAGAGTTGAGCGCTAATCTTTGGATCGGAATTTGCTTTGATTTTGGCTTTGCTACGTTTTTTCACTTTATTTGCGGCCGATGTGGCTGCCGACAATGAACTATTGCTGCTGCTCGATGAACTTTTGCTGGCTTTGTCATTGTTATTGGTCTTATTATCAATATCGGCCGACGTTGATTTTCCTTTTTTCTTAACACCGGCCGACGATGGTGATGTCGTTAAATCAATCAAATTATCACCGACATCGATACCATCAGCGGTGGCTGGACTTGGAGCCGGTTGTGAACGACGCGGAAAATTTCTTAATGGTAATGGCGGCGGTTGATGCTGATTTTTTGATCGATTTTTATCAACAAAACCGGGCCGTAATTCAACCGGCGTCGATTCGGATGTGAATTTATTTTTAACCGCTGACAATAGTGCATTGTGCGACGAATGATGATGCAATCCAGCAGCGGCCGCTGCAGCCGATACGGGTGAATGTAACAAATGATCGGCATTGCCACTTGTATTTGGTGTGGTTAGGCTTGAATTGGCCATTTCTTTATCGATGGATTTTTTCTTGCCGCCCAAACTCAGTGACGACAATGAACGCGGAAATCTCGATAGGAACGCTGGCGTTATGGACGATTGAACGGTTGATGGATTTATTATTGGCGCTGTTACATTTAGCAGTGTTGACGGTGTTATTGGATTGAAATGCAATAACGTTGGATCCTAAAAAAAGAAACATAGCGAATTTCGCATTTTTTTTTTGTTTTCGTCAGATTGATTTTTTTTGTTCATTTACTCCGTGTATAATAAAGATAAAGTTATGCATCCCATTTTCAATTTGATTTTTTTTTTAAATAGAAACTATTTAACCCTTCCCACGTCCAGTGTTTTTTCCTTCAAAAGTATACGTGTCCTTGTGACTTTCTCATTGTTTATTTCTAATTTTTGAATATTTTTCAAATACTTATGCATATACGTGGTTCACTACTGATCTAATGCTACTGGATTTTGTACAAAAAAAAACACCCCGGTATGGGGGTACCAAATGCTACGAAATGTACAAAATATTTGATTTTTTTTAAATTTCGTTTTTATACAATAATCGTTCAAAAGTCCTAACTTTCTCAAATAAAAAACATAAAAATGCATTGAACACTTCTGCTGGAGCAGATTAAGTAAAGAAAACGAAATACAATTCATAATATGTAAAACACATGTGCTTACGACAATATAAACATCAGAAATGTAGACGGAATGCAAAACAATTAACAATTCAAACTGAGAATATGAAAAAGATAACACGCTTCAACTCAATCTATGAATGTCTATGAAAAATAATTAATTTCTTGATCATTTCACGATGCATATTTGACTTCATTTCATATTTTTTTTTTTTTTTTTTTTTTAAAAAAAAAAAAAAAATTCCATTTATTCAATTTTTTTGTGATAAAATTACAATAACAAGTCTACCAAAAAAAAAAAATGATCAGAAAAATAACGTTTGATTGACAACATCTCAAGCAATACGATCAAAAAATGAGACTGAATTTCTTGGAATTTTTTTTAAACGAAGATTTCCTTCAATTATCTCGACGACGAGAAAAAAATATGAATTATTTGAGAATCGCGAATATTGCTAATTTGAAATGTATAAGATGTACGTATGCATATGAAATGTAAATATGTTTTTAATGCGAACATTTAGAGACAAAAAACTTTGCGAAAACTGTACAGGTGAACGACCCAAATTTTTTTTAGTACCCAAAGGTGCGCGTGTATTTGCGCAACTTAAAATTTATGAAAATATGTCATCTTTCAACAAATCATACAAAAATGATCAAAAGCGTGTTAATGTGCGTAAGAAATGGTCGGTTGAACGATCGTTTAGAAGCGAGAATGAAAAAAAAGAACAGTTGGTTTAGAAAATACAATTCGCACATTATGGTGGTTTTGTTGTTTCTATTTTGTATGTTTGTCTGGGCGGTAAATGTGTGCGATCAGGTGTTTTGCATATTTATGCCAAAAGTCAATTAAAATTTCAGTATTAAATGGTGAATTAATTTATGTAATGGATTGATTACGAGTTTTAAATGGAAAATTGCCAATTTGTTGGCGGCTTTTTTTTCTTAATTGTGTTTAGTAAACGCGTTTGTGACACGTTAAGTGAATGCATAAAATGAGTTAAAGAGTGGATGACAAAATATATTTTTACGTGATTCTCTGCCATGGACGAGTCACACCACAATAAAATATTCAATAAAAACAAGTTGAAGTACGAACACTTGCGTATATGTATTTTTTTTTCTTCAATATTTTGGGCGTGTGTGTGTGAAAGAGAGTAATATCACACTTTTAGCATTGAGAACGTTAAGTGTTGTTAAACTGTATATTGAAATTCATTTTCGGATATCTACTCTGATTGAATTGAATTTCTTCCTCTGTCACGCGAGGCATTGACAAGAAGTAGATGAAGAAAATAAAAGCATAACAGAGAGACAACACTCACAGAAACAAAAAAACAATTCAGTTATATTGAAATCGATCACTCACCTCGCCGTGCATTTGACGTAATTGTTCCTGTAACCGCAAAATGTTCGTTTCGGCTTGGGCGATATCGTTACGATTCGCATTATTTGATGTTTTTAGATTTTCCAAATTCTTTTTCTCTTGGTCCATCATCAGCCGAAGTGTATTTATTCGCGTAAATTCAACTTCGCGTCGTGTACTTGACTGTAAATTAAAAAGAAAAAAAAAAGAACACAGATGTAAAGGTTAATTGAATGACAAAGGCGACAGAGGTAGAATCGAACAAAAACAATTGAAAGAGATCCGGTTCATGAGATGATTGAATTTTTTTATTCAAGAAATGTACTTACATCAACTGGCAATGGTGCTGTGATGGGGGCACGCTGATTTAAAGACGTTGGCGTCCCAACCGATATCGATGATGATCGCTGCATCTTCGTTTGCACACGGCTCACGGTCAGTATAACGGGTGATTTGTCTGCAAATAGAAAGAGACAGAGAAAAAAATGAGCAAAAAATTAACGGAAATTCCATTTTAAATTTCGCGCAATTTAAATAATTTTATTGGAATCATCATCGTTCAATTCATTCAATTATAAATAAAATTCATTGTTGCTTTTCTATCTTTAAATGTTATTGAAGATGAATTGGCAATGATTATGATATATATGTCATCGTTTTTGACATAGGGGATTTTCCCAATTTTATCGTTATGTCGTGAGCTCAAAATTAGCATCGTACACCATAGAAAAAAAAAGTTTGTTTGTGTTTTACATAGTGTTGGAAATAATTGAATGTGGCACGATATAATGTGGTTAATAGCAATATTTAACCCAGAAAAAAATGCAATTGTCTATGTCTGTATGTTTAACCTGGATGGCTTCAACAAAAGATAGCGAATCAATCACATTAAAACGGTTGTTAGATAGTAAAGAAGAAGAAGAAGAAAAAAACGTCCTCAGGCGTATTTAGCTATTCAATTAATGCGCAAATCTAACGAGTATTTACTTAATGACTTGCTCCAGTTTGTTTGTCAATAAATATTTGTGAGAAAGTCATTTGGACGCTGATGGTGTAGTTTCCAAAGTACTAAGTGACAGATATCCGTATCGATCGTCGTATTTTGATTGGAAATGACAACGAAAAGCCCCCATGATGACTTACTCATTGAAACATTGTTTGCACAGTGTTAAAAGCAATATTAGCTGTGATATCGCTATGCGTCTCTTCTTCTTCTCTTTTGGTTGCTTTGCGTTATTCTTCTTTCATTTTTTTTGTTGCTTCCGTGATATGTGGTATTTTCTGTTTTGTTTCGTTCTGTTTTGTGTGAGACCGTTATCACAAATCGAATTGCTGTGCGGATCAGTGGCAGCGGCATTTTACGTCCATTTGAAATTACAAAGACATTAATCACAATCTAATTGGATATGATTATGAGCTCAACTCACACACGAATCAACACCACAAATAGTCTAACGGGCGCGCAAAAACAACGATGAACAAAACAAAAAAAAAAAAAAAATTAAAAACCAGAATCGAATACAAACGATTATACGACAAACTATTTGTCAATGTATGCGCTGTGAACTTCCCATCTTTTTGTTCCTATCACGAATATGTGTACGCTTCGGCAATTTTGTATAAAAATCGCTCATATGGATTTTAATCACATTTCAAACTGAATTTCGATGAGTTTAGTTCTATTCTCAGTGTCTGTGTCTACTCTATCTCACAACCATTTGAAATTGCATTCGATTCCATTTTGGTGCTTTAGTTATTACACACTTTCGATAGCGAATATAAACAAATGCAATATTTGAAATTGATTTCGGAGTGAATCACACAATTATACACACACACACGGAGAAAGTGAGGTAGAACAAGCGCAAAGTAAAATGTGGAATCAATATTTTGCCACCCATTATTTGGTGATAGTTTTAATCAGTGTTATCGACAGTTGTTATTCATATCGTTATGTTAATCCACATGCGTGCAGATATACACCGACAACGGTGAGTGGTACCAAAGCGCCAACCGGACGTATTTGTAAAGGCCAACTTATTTTGGACGAAAAATTTCTTGAATTCGATCGTGATCTTTGGAAACATGAATTGACACTTGGTGGTGGTGGCGTAAGTGTTCCTACATAGTTTTTTTGAGTGCCAATTAAATGTGTTTATTCTATTCATTTTCTGAAGAATGCATGAATGAAAAAATTTACACATTTTTTTGTGTTCCTTTAATTTGTTTGTCGCATAGAATTGGGAATTTCAATGGTATGTAGACGATGCGAAAAATTCATATGTAAAAGATGGACAATTAGTATTATGCCCAACACTGACGTCAAACGAAATTGGCGAAGATGCATTGGAAAGTGCCCTTGTCAAAATCACTCCGTATGTTGATACTTTGATCTTATTATCTGTGTATTTTCTATTGAACTCGTTTTGCTATTTATAAACGTGTGTGTGTGTGTGTTTCGGTGTTTATTTTATTTTTTCATCAGTTGCACCAATGATCAATGGTTTGGCTGTGAGCGTCAAGGAACAAAGACTCACATTATCAATCCCATTCGTAGCGCGCGTCTAAATACGGCCAATTCATTTTCATTCAAATATGGACGAATTGAGGTTATCGCAAAATTACCAACGGGAGATTGGTTATGGCCAGGCAGGTGACATTTTGATCACATATTATTAACGATTTTTTTTTTTGGTTTCCTAATGTGAACGGTTACTTTGTTAGTGTAAACTTTTTATTTTGTATTCAAAATGGATTTTTTTTTCGTTGTTGGTTGACATTTAAAATGTGTTTATACTTTGGTGATGTATATAGCTATTTGGCTTCTGCCAACTGAACGTATTTATGGTGATTGGCCACGATCTGGCGAAATAGATTTAATTGAATCGCGCGGCAATCGCGAATATCGAAATAATGATGGAAAACATATTGGTGTTGAACACTTTGGATCGACACTACATTTTGGACCGAGATGGGATCAGAATGCATATTGGTCATCGTCATTTTCAACTCATTCAACAGCTGGCGATGGATTTAACAACGGTTTTCATCGTTTTCTGATGGAATGGACACCCGAATGCATTACATTCTGTGTCGATGGTCGTTTGATTGGACGTATTCCGGCCGGCGATGGTATGTGGGCTCGTGGTAAATTTGATGGCGAAAGTATTTGGGCCAATGCTACAAAAATGGCACCATTCGATCAAGAAGTGAGTTATTTATTTTTGTTTTTAATTATTTCGATTCATGATCTCTGTTCTCTGATCTCTCAATGATCATTAGATTTTATCGTTATTTTCATGAATTGTGTCGATTTTGGGCCATATGGCAAACATTAATTACACTTTTGAATCATTTTTAATTAGAAAAGTAGAAGTATATTAACAAAAACCATACCGTCGTATTGATATAAAACTCAAGCTTACGTCGGCTTCATTCCATACATAAAAGAAAGAGTCTTGAAACTTAGATCATTTTGACGAACAGACCATTTTGCTATTGCGCATTTTTACTAAAACTCGTTTCATCAATATTGCCATACATCGACATATCTAATCGAATTATGGAAACTGTTTGTATCCTATCTACAGTCGATCAAAAATCAATAGCAGCGCAGTGAGGGGGCGATATATCTTTATTAAATGCAAATGTATTTTTTTAAAACTTTTTTTTTACGTTTTCTTTCAGTTTCACATAATTTTGAATTTGGCTGTTGGCGGCACAAACGGATATTTCCCGGATGAGGGAAATGCAAGCAAAAAACCATGGATAAATTCGTCACCGCAAGCGGCTACCGATTTTTGGCGAGGTCGAAATCAGTGGTTGCCCGGATGGAATCTCGATAAAAATAATGCAAGCGACGCATCGCTAATTGTTGATTCGATTCGTGTGTGGGCAATTTAAGACACACATTTTTTTTATTCTCATTTAATTTAAGAATATATTATCGAAAATGTGAATATAACTATGAAGATCAAGTGCAAAGTCAAATTGATACAGTTATTTCATTTGTTTATCGTTGTGTTTTTGCTCTTTCCCGTTATAAATATATGAATCATGCTATATAATTGCAGTGAGAAAAAAAAACGATGGCAAGAATTTCGACTGAATTTAGATTTAATCTTGTTAGTGATTAATCAACACGTGTCAATTGTAAGACAAACATCACATCCCTTTATTGTGCTTGTTTCTCATTATCTCCATTCGCTGTGCAACTGCACAAATAATGATTGCAATTTTGCCTCAAAATGTAAATGATCGACACTGGTTTCGGTGATATTTTTTTCTCACAATCGAATGGTTGAAGAAAAAAATGTACACATTTGGAGAGAAATCAAATCAACGCCAGAGAAATTGCAAAATTGAGATTTCGCAAATACCGTGGAAATTTGTGTATAAAAAAAACACACACGTCTAATTAATTCAATGCGATGTAGTGTGCACTTGATTCTGTAAATATTGTGCGCTCGTACATCAAACGGAAAAGTATATATATATACACTTTGAGATTATATTTACGTAATTGTTGATTTATATAGGAACTCTCAGTGATATTAAGTCTAGAGAGAGTGTGCTTGACGTTGATTTCGTGTTGAAGCATAGCATATTTCATCAGCTCAGAATTCATAGTTTGTGTGCAGAAGCGCAGAAAGCAACGGAATAAAAAAAGATGGTTGAGTGTTTGTTGAATGAATGAATTGAACTAAAGTGAAAATCAAATATGTTTATTCTTTGTTTCTTACCTTTAATTAAATGCACGACTTTTGTATGATTCAAAGTTTTGGCCTCTTCACCGTTCACCTGAAATGCGAAAATAGACAAGAAAAAATACACAAATCAAAACCGGAAACATAAGTGTGAATATAATTAAAATAAAAATAAGCTCTTCACACCGATTGGAGCGTGTTAGATCAACAACAACAATCGAAAGAAGAAAATAAAACAAACCAAAAAGTTTATAATTCTTTTTGATGAGCTTTATTTGCAAGCGTTAAACACATGTAAGCATCTAAATAATGTGTGTACAATGTTTAACATTGCCACTCTAAAAAAAAATGTCTGGTATAAAACCAAATACTTCTAATGCTGAGGACGAAAGATCGATCGCAAAGACAAAAAAAAAACTATTTCCGGCCACAACGAAAGCCGTTCTCAGTTTAGATATTGCAATTTAAAAAAAACCCGTGCACTCACAATAAATTACTCAAAATTCAAAATAAAAGTAGAAATTTCGCAAAATAAATTGACGTACATTACAGCAATATAATTAATATTAAACCATCTAACTAAATGAAACGTCTTCTATTTTAACCATGCATACAAATTGACCAACGTTTTTTTCTTACACTGTTGAACTAGATATTCAAATCACACATTGTTCGCAACGACTTTATGTTTTTGTTTTTTATGATAATGCAAAATAATCAATACGCACGTAGAACAAATTGTAAAAGAACATTCAACCGCAATTTTCTTAAACCAACTAGTACACGCAAACGCTAAATTGGCACAGTTTTTCTTCCCACTTAAAATCTAAACTGAATTGTATTTTGTACTTCATTCTTGAAGTGTGCTGTTCTGGTGCTGCGCGAATCATAAAAAAAAAAAGAAATTGTATTTGAGCATGTACTCGCACGCACGCTTGTTTACTCCTGCCCGGAGCAATGTTTCTACCGCGGTTTGATGGAAGATAATTACTATCTGTTTGTGGATTGATAAATTGATTAATTTATTCGCGCAATTCACATAATTGCCAACGTTTCAATTCACACAATTCGACGAAATGCGACGGCGCACAATTCGCCTGTTTAACGGATTGGCCGCGCCACAAGAAATTGTTTCATGGTTCACGTTCTGTGTGCATACATGCAATATTATTTTATTATTTTCTTGTCCTCGGCAACGTCTTTGCGTTGGACAATCGGTTTGTCTTCATGCCGTGTATTGATTCGGGTTGCTTGCATTGTTGTGGTGGCAAACAAACAAACGTGCGTCAACGGACATACATTTGTGAGACAACAGTGTCAATGCGGTGAATTGTGCAATTCAATAAAACAAACCGTATAGCGGTTACATTTTGTGTGATTTCGCCTACCTTGACAATCATATCACCTTCCATTAAACCAGCCATGTGAGCCGCACCTCCTGTCTTGACGCTTTCGACAAAGACAGGTTTATCACCCGATACCTAATAAATAATATAAAATAAATGTAATCAATTCAAAAGAATAAACAAAACGAAAGGAAGAAACGACAAAAGTGAACAAATGTATGAGTAATTTTAAGGAGCAATCACAAAGAAGCACATTTTATGTCGTTAGGTCGAATCAATTCAAGTCAATTGGAATTTCTGCGAAAAGAAATAACATAAAAAAAATTCGCCTTTGTTTAGACAATATCACATTGACACAATCAATCAATCGATTCGAGATGTGTGTATATGCAAAATATACACTGCTGATTCTTCTGGCATTCATATTGAGAACATCAAAACGTGCACACACACGCGCGCGCTTATGTGTGTATGAGGTCTTATGCTGTGCAAACAATCTCACAATATCACGCCATTGATATTGTCATAGTATATACAAATTTGGATATGTCGTTTACGTATGGTTGTTGCCAGCCTGCTTTTCTTTTGTCGAACCATTTTCTTTTTAATTCGATTCCTTTCAATGAAATTGACCCGTACAGGTCAAGAGAGTTTATGTGCATTGCACATATACACATATTGTGAACAGATTATGTTGTGTAATTTAAGGCTTGCGATCAATAAATTAATGCTACAATAAAGATTATGTTTTGTTATTTAGCTCTTCACTGCAGCCAGTAATTAAAAATGAAACCGCGTAGAAGCATGATCATATGCCATGCAATATATGTATGCACACAAACACGAACACACACAAAATTCTCAAAGATGTGAAATAAAAATGCCGAGGGAGCGAAGAAATTAATACATATTTCGAAAAGACTAATCGCATTTGTTGAACGAGAATATTTGTTTGTCGCACATTCATGTGAAATATGCAGTGTAATAAAATGCGTAATATGGTGCAGAAGAGTGCGTGCGACTCTTGTTTTGTGTGAGAAAGAGAGAGAGAGAGAGAGAGAATGTGGAAAAAATGCGGGAAGTTCAATGCTCGGCAAATCAATCTTTCGTTTCGGGAGGGGGAGGGGACACATGAGCGCGTTTCTCTGTCTTTAAACCGTTTGTCATTGTTATTTTGTAGCGTTTTGCCTTTCTTCTGCATACTGAGTCATTGACGCATGTTTCTCATACACTCTTTTAACTTCAGTGTCGTTCGTATATCGAATTATTGAGAAAGAAAGAAGAATTAAAAAAAATGAAATTTGAACAGAGTGAAAGAAAAACATACCACCACTGGAATCTAATATTATTTATTGTTATGCGTTAAGTTGCACTCACTTAGCGACTTATCAAATTTTCAACATTGAAGCGAAAAATGGAGAAAAAAAAGTGAAAACAATTAAAACGCAGTTTCGCTTTTATGGTCAAACCGATTTACAAAATGTGGTTAATATGTGACTACTTTATCAATAGCATTCCGAAACGTAAACGCACTTTTGTTTTGTTATCTTTGTATCTTACACTATGAACAATTCAATAATGCAATTGAACGATGTCAAAAATGGATTTTTGTGTTTCGACTGCTACATAAAAATACAGACGAACAACCAGAACTTCTTTCTTTTTCTGATGAAAGCAGCAATGTGACTTGAGTAAGATTTTAAATATGTAAAAAGACTTCAATGCAAATAAACCGTTTTAAGCTGCGTCTAATTGGCTTTTGTTTGGGTGAATCGATTTTATGTCGAAAGTGCCATCGACAAACCAACCAATCACAATTTATTGGAATATGTTCTTTTTCGTATTCATCATTGGTTTACATATGACTAATGGAGTGGTTTGACGTCATTTGTACCGTTTTAATCGACAGAGATAGCGAGAGTTGGTTATTTTTCACGTTACGACCGAAAGATAGAAAAAGATGCGATCAAAAATATTTCTCGATTTTTTGATATTCGCTTGATTGATTGTGCAGATAGTCTATAAGCTTACAATTGCAACATACAGAATGCAGTGTATATAAACATTTCGTGATGGCATTCCATTCCAACGACGAACGACAGAAAAAAAAAAACAAAAAAAATTTGCTGAACGTCATAATTCGTTGTTTTTTTGCATTCTTTGTGTTGTTCAACAAAAAAAAAGACACAGAGAACCGAATGGAGAAAAAAAATATATAAACAGAAAATGTTTAACGAAATAAAATGAAACAAATAATAATTAAAATAATGAAAAAAGAAAGCAAATACACTACCTTCATGCCATAGCCAGAAGCATCCTTTTGAATGGTTATGGTTAATTCGATTTTATCATTTTTATTGCGTTCAACTCCTACCGGCGACATTAGTGTTTGTGGACGTCTATGACTAGCACCATTTAAATAAGTTCCGCCGCCTTGAGATCTGTTGATGCGATTGTTGATTTTGAAGAGTTATCGGAAACGATGAATTGGAATTGGTTGAAATGTGCAATTCATTCACTTGTGTGTGTAATAATTTTTCAGATGTTTGTTTGTTTGGCAAGAATAAAAATTTGAAAAAATGTTTCAACAAAATGTGTGCACGGAATTTCCCATTCCGAAACAAAAAAAAAAGAAACGCACACACACACATACATACATGTGCCATAGGCCATATTATTGACTGTTAATTTCAGTTGTTCGATAAATTCCATCCAGCCTTTTAAGTTTTTGTTTTGTTATTTTGTGTATGTGTGTGTGTGCGTTTTCCGTTTCTTTTTCTATTGAGCGATTAGATATTGCCTAATTTCATTCATTTAAGGAATGTTGTTATTTTTGTTCCTCATATTTCCAAATTACTTCAATGATAAAACACATTTGACAGACACTAAACAGAACACATTCATAAATACTTTCATCTTTCGGTTGAATTTCGATATCATATCCAGCATTGAAGATCACTCATTTTTCGTTCAAATTATTCTTCTTCAGACTTGACAGCATCGAAATTCCAAACAAAATTCCTTTCATTGTGTGTGTTTTTTTTTTTGTTCTCTTTCCTGCTAAACTAGTAATTCATTCATGATAATGAAATGGAAAGTTGATTCTAAACATTGTATCTGGGTACAGTTGTTATCCTCAATTTAAACAAGCAAATTATAATTCATTTGATAAATTTAATGACTAACATTTTGAATTAATATTTTAACAAAGAAATCAAGTTCATGTCATAAATTGACCCACATTTAATCGAATGAAAAAAAGAGCATGCATTCAATGAATATAATTACGAGCAACTATCAATTTCATATACACGAAATTTTTCAATACATCAAATTGGCTATCTATTTATTCAATCGCACACACCGTCCGATCTTTACCATGCAAACGGCAATTTGTTATTGGCAGTTACTTCTTTTTGATTAAATTTACAGCAACTTATTATAATTCAAATAAAACGAGAAACTTGTCAAACGTCAATATATAAATTTGGGCGAAAGGAAATAAAATATAATTGTAAAAAATGCCCGAGCAAACGTTTCTTGATTTATGAACTTTTGATTCGTATAAATATGATTTTTGTGCATCAAACAAAATTTTAGTTACAAAATACACACACGCACACAAATTTACACACATTAAATCGTCAAATCAATAATATTGAATGCAAATAAGATGCGTAAAATTTATCAAGAGAAAAAAAAATAATGTGTACAACTCACCTCTCCGGCAGTCCCGGCTGTGACGTGCTATCCATAAATTCTTAATAGTCGTGTTTTGTGTGTGCATACACTGATCGCACACAAAATACCTATCCAATCAATTGCTGCTTTATCTCTCTTGATCGTGCTTCTTAGTTTTTTTTTTATTATTTTAAATTTTTGTTTGTTTGCTAAATATGAAGGAGACAAAACACAAATTTATTAAAATCGTGAAAAAGTTTTTTAAAAAAAGTAGATAAGAGAGTGTGTGAGCGAGAGAGCGAATGGCGAGCGAACAAATAAAGCGTAAAATGATGTAATATTTAATTAGAGTTCCACATGCATAAAGAGACACATGGGCTTGTATATGCCTGTCAAAGTCGCAACTCGTTTGAACACCACACACACACACATTTCATAAACCATCAACTATTAGGCATTAGCATTTTTTCTGCTCATTTGATTTTTGTTTTATAAAACATTTTTTTATGATTCATAAAAAAAAAGCAACAAAGTCCGATATAATATTAATATAGGATACGCAGTGTGCCCGTACAAAACGAAGAGAGAGGGAGAGAGAACAGCTTGACTTGTTCAATTTGATATAGGAATGTGATATTGTTTTGATAGCGCTGGACGCCACCAGGAATGATGCATTGTCGCCTATATTGCATATCAAACCTGACCGAATGCATTCTTAATTCCATCCGGGTCGGAGGAGAAAAAAAAACTGTGTTAAACATTTCAATTGTGTATGTGCGGTGTTGCGAATGCGTTAAATGTTCCATCAAATCCAATGTTTGTCATTGAAACCAATGTGGTCATCATGTAAATTTTTTTTTCGTCAAAATTAAAAACACAATAGCTATTGTATTTTTTGTTAATTTTTATTATTGTCACACACAACCGAAAAATGTTGGCAGAAAAAGCGATTTTTGTTTGTGATTTCAGCACAATAAGGTAAATAAATTGAGGCTTGTTTCGTGTGTGGTTATATGGCCATTAAGATATGACTTCATTCGATTAGCATTTAATGCACATATGTTTTCAGGTTTTTTTTCTTCTTTTCGTGAACGACAGCCGGATTGACATCGCACAACGCAAATCACACATTAAAATCTCGCTCGTCTCTCTCTCTCTCGCTCGATCTCCTTTTCTCACTCTTGTGGTTGGTGCATGATTGCCAATTAAATTGTTGCACGATTAAAATAATAAAATCGAGAAAACACAAGCAAACATTAAATTTATTTCAGACACCGATTTTTAGCGCAAAAATCAATATTTGGTTTGTATCATACATATTATTTCAGTGCCTGCGACAGGATCACAACGAATGGATGTGATCTAATGCGCCGCACTAGGATTGACCTATTTTTAGATATAATAAGAATGTATACTAGAGTGTTTCCCATATCTATAATTAAAAAAATGGTATGTTTCAATTTAAAGAGGGTCAAATTTCATGCCAATTGATAGCAATCACAAAACATAGAGATTGGTATTACGACTTCCCGAAGCGGGACTGTTGAGTCATGCGTAATTTCGTACACCTCTAGTTATATAAAGTCGTGTAGGCTCCAAATGGGAAATTCAAAATAAACAAACATAAACATAGCGTTGCCGAACTAATGAAATAATAATAAATATTCTGAACAACATCGGAAAATGTACATACATTTTTATTTTTGTTAACGGCCAAATTTCAAAAGTCCATCAATACTGCGATGACATTTCGCAGTTTCAATTTTGTTTATATCAAATGAGCGTTGTGTTTACTGTTTCAAATCAACAAAGTATTGCGTTTTGTATGCTAATATTTTTCTCCTATAATTTCATCATCTCACTCACACACATACATGTGACTACTAGTCACTGACTAGCATCGTCAAAAGGCAAGCAATATGTATCCGTTTGTTTGAATATCAAATACCATTGATTCGATTGTACTAATACATTGCTGACTGTCTCGTTTTTTGACCGTTCGTTGACAGTCAACGTTCCAGTTTCATTTACATCAAACTTGAGACAACTCTTTCGATAGTGTTCAGTTTGTCATCTGAATGTGCAAAAGAACACAACAATTATAATCAATAAATTCCACTACTGTATTTCGAGTCAAGAAAATGTTTTGTTTGCAATAATAATGCATTCTATTGTCATTTTTCCGTTAATTTTGTATTTGGTTCTGCTTTATAAAATGGAGGGCAGAATATTTGCAAAACAATATGGTAATATTTCAACACTTTTCGATCTTTTTGAGTATTTGAACCGTTCGCCATCTGAATTTCGCAACAAGACGAAAATTCAGACATCAGTTATGTCGCTGAGTTCATCAAAGTAAGATCATTTTGAAGTTTGAATTTTTGTGTGCATATTTATCTCTTCTCTATTCCGCAATTAGATTCATTTGAACATTCATTTTATAGTGTTTTTTGTGCCAATTGAATTGAACTGATTGCTGCACTCGGAATTGAGTTAAAGTGAGTTAGACATTTATTTTATTGTGCTCTCAAAGAAAAAAAAAAAAAACAATAGAAAGTCATTGTGTTCAGTAGCATTTTTTTATGTCGTATCGAAAAAATTTATTCTTCATTGCAATTGCATTAAAATTCTATTTTTAGAATTCGATATTGACAATGAGCGGACGAAAAAGAAAAGGAGTTGGTGCTATATGTGGATCGAGACCGAAAAGACGTAAAGTGGGCAAACTTCCAGAAGAAAGTGGATTGTTAGCCATAAAGGTATCCGCCGCAACGGCAGTCAAAGAGGAATATCACGATATTGTGCTGCCATGGATTGCGAAGAAGAGTATCGAGTGTACAAAAATCTGTGAGCTGGCGTCGCTTTTGTTTTTACACAAAGTGAAACTTGCCAATGAAGAGGCCATTTTGACGAACAACTGGAAATTTTTTGATGAAGGTGATGGTATCCACATAATTGAAGGATGCTTCTTTGCTGTGTTGCGCAAATATAAAGAAGAGAACGACATGGTGCCTGAATTTCGAGACATAGTCGAGGCATTGGACGGAGACAATCGGTTCGCATGGCCCAATAATGATTATTTTGGGAATCTTATGAGATATTTATTCCAACAACATGCACGAAATGCCATAACCAACCTCACCACACACGATGACAAACGACTTCGTGAGTACCTGAGATTGTTGGTGTGGGAACACAACGTCGACAATCTGGATCCAAACGACGTATTTGATGAACATGATGTCAACAATGCAGTGAAGTGGGCCATTGAAAGATACGATTCAACCAGAGGTGATGCGATTAGATTGGACAAACGGAATCGGTTGCTCACTTGTGTGCGAAATATTGGCGGACCAAAAGACGACAACATCGCAAAAGATACAAAAGAGAATTGGTTCGCGACGTTGCCAATGTGGCTTCATATGCAAAAAAAGATCGATGATTATCACAATTGGGTACAAAACAACCTCGAAAATATTCCGGCTGACATTGAGCTTCCCATAATCAAAAATCTTTCAGTATTACCAATTTGCACACATTTGCGAAAGAATATTAAAATTGATGCCGATATATTGTATCGAATGATGTGTGAAACCAAAATCATCCCGTTAGATGAGTATGGACGCCAAGTTGATGGTACACATGTCTGTGAAAACAAGGTTCATTATTTCAATGAGATTTTCGACATGAACAAAATCAATGGAATATTGAACGCGAACAAAGAATTTCATTATCATGTTGTAACCGATGGTGTGTCAGCATCGATTTTATACGACGTATCGCGAAATACATTGGAACAGTTGGTGAGTGATGAACTCATAAAAAAGCGTTACGAAGATGGCGTTTACATCTACGAATTGGGAATCGATCCGGGCATGAAAACGTGGAACGCGACCGTTAGACGGCATATCGACTCCGGCAAAGAGGTATGTGTTTGTGATTTCTCAGTATGCATTTCATTTCATCGTGTGATTTATTCCATTCATTTTCTCTCTCTCTCTCTCTCTCTCTCTCTCACACACACACACACAGATGAATTTCAAGACCAGCAGTAAGAAATATCATTACCTGACGAAGCAAGGAGTACGAAACCGAAAAGCGAAGCGGTGGACACGTGGGTTTGTCGCCTTTGAACAAAACGATCGAAATGACCGAACCCGTTATCCGCAAATGCCGAGTCCAAAAGGAGAAAATTGGAGAGACTATATAAGTCATCGCTTGAGGATTATGAAGAAAGCCATTGACGTGTATACGAGCGAAAGATACACCCGTCTACGATTTGATAAATATATCGAATCGAATCGAGTATGTGACAAGATTGCTGCAATGCTGGTAAGAACAAAACATAGATCATTTGTTGAATATATTTGATTTGTTAATAAGAAAAATATATTCTTGTGTCCAAATAGACAAATGGTAAGCCTTGCATAATTTTCTTGGGAGCGGCGAATATCTCACCCAACTCGCCGATAAAGATTAAAAAGAACATTCGCTGCCCTGGTAACCGGAAGCTGATTAAAAGTTTTAAGAAAATGCTGGGCAACGTGGTGAAAATGGTGAATGAGTTCCGAACGTCTCGACTGTGTGCACGCTGCTTCGAGCCATTTCCTTTGGAAACATTGGGTCATCGTTTCAAAGTGTGCGAATGGTGTGTGCCAGATAACAACGACTGGCCAGAAGGATTGAAACTACCCGAAAAAATCGTGACGATGAAGAGCAAACGAATGCTGCTATCGGAACGACAAGAATTGCGCGATGCAATGGTTGCGAATCCAAATCAAGCTGTTGGTTTTGTGTCAAAGGTCATTTGTTACCGAAAAAACTGGCGACAAAACGCGGCATACGATGCGGTTAACAACGTTGCTCAGCTACCAGGCATTATTCGCGACGAAAATGTCATCGATTTTACAGAGGATTACATGCTACTTGATGATGACTTTTATGTCGCCGAAGAGGAAGACTATTTGGCCGTCCTGAACACTATTTGGCACCGGGACATTGCAGCTGCAAAGCTGATAATGTACAAAGGTAATTTATTCATTGAATTAAAATTGGATTCCGAATGAGAAAGTGATTGAAATTGAAGCATATAATACTATTTTGTTTTAATTAACAAATTTATGTGTGTTTTCTCTTTGTTGTCAAGGCCATTGTGGACTTTTCGGATTTGAGCTGCATCGTAACTTCACCGTTGAACGCCTCGTCTATCCAAGATGGATTCGAATCCACTAACGAGATAGAATTAAGATCGATGAATTTAAAATTTGAAACTAATTAATGTAATAGGATATTATATGTAGCTGGGTCGATTTAGTGACCCAGGTTCTATCGATAGAATTTAGAGGAAAGAATATGTATAGGTTGTTCTCTATCTATTCTATTTGATGTTCATAGAATAGGTATTGAATTTCTATGCCAATATTTTAGTCCTTCGATAATAGTTCATGGATAGATAGAGTACATTCGGGAAGAGTTTTCATGTAAGTATTTATTCACCGCATGGCAATTGGCATTGACTTGACCATAGTTTTTTGTTTGCTTCGGGAAGTCGTAATGCCAATCTCTATGTTTTGTGATTGCTATCAATTGGCATGAAATTTGACCCTCTTTAAATTGAGAACTACCATTTTTTCATTTGCAGATATGAAAAACACCCTAATGTATACATAATCGAATGCCAACAGAAAAAAAAGAGAACTTAAATCAACAGTTCAATTTTTATGGTTGTGAGATGCTTTGATTGTGGCGGTGATAATTTTGAAATATTATGTCACATTTTCACTTTTTACGAGTTTTACTTTGTGCTCATTTTTGTGCGATCGATATGTTCGATAAGTACAAAGTGAACAGAAAATAAGCCACGTTTTTTGCGCAACTACTTCAATCACAACATTTCATACTCTTTTTTTTGGCAAAGAAAATCAACATTCAGCATACAAATGAACATTCAAAATGTCTATGGGCATATGCCGATCGTCAATATCGCCAATCTACTACCGATGTTCATCATGGCTTTAATTAAACAGTGATTGCTTTCATTTTATCTCAATTAAAACAAGTTTTGTACTGGATTTTAATGAAACAGGGCGAGTAAATGAGCTCGTTCGATAAGTCAAAAGGTTTAACAAATCATTAAATCCATTAGGTGATCTGTATGATCGTTTAATTATTATTTATTGGTAAATGTATTTTAATGTACTTTTTTTTCGCGTTAATTAATAAATATTTATTGTGTCGAATCGTCGGTGTCGAATGGTGATGATGAAAATTTAATTTATTATTATATGCGTACAATTAAAATATGATCGACTTCATTGTCGGCACAATTTTTCATCTACTTGGTCTCTTTCTTCTTTAATTTAATGAATTACGGTTCGCAATTAGTAAAAGGGGGAAAAAGTGAGCTGTTGTTATATTCCCTTCATTACATCGCCAGCACAGTTTGTTCGATTTTGCTGTTTGTGCAAAGTATAAAGTGAGTTCGATTAAGTGCTTACATTTTGCGGAAGTGCGAAGAGAGATATCGCGCATGGCGCGACCAATTCTTTGAAAAGAATCGAGCTTACTTCGTTTAATGAGCATATCAACGAACATTGTTCTCGGTTCGTCGTCATCGGATGTTTTATGTTGTGTAATATGACCGCATTTTCTTCTTCTTTTTTTTTCAAAGCAAGTACAAATTGCTGTATCGCCTCAACACCATAAAATGTTTAATTGCTACGGTTTGAAATGCATAGAAAAAGGCGCGCACACATATGGACAGCGAAAAAGATCAACCAATATCAGGCAAATTGGATAATTATTTGAACCGATTGGCCTCTTTTCACTTACGGAATTTGCACCACTGTGCTTTGTCAACATTTTTCTTCGCCGTTTTTCAAATTGAAATTGTTCAAAGCGCCAGCCGTTCGTTTATGAGTTGTTCGCATTTTTCTTCTCATTTGAATTTATTATGTGATAAGTGGTTACATTTCGTGTTAGACGCATTCCATTACACAAACCATGGTCTGTGATATGTGCCACGCAATGCAAATTCTTACATAGGCCAATATACGAAACCAATAAACGAACGACAACACCAAACCAGAAGAGAGAAGAAAAAAAAACCGTAAAAGTCAACATAAATTTTGTATAAACATAAAACTAAACCGAACGGAAAACACAACACACAAAAAAAAATCGCAACAATTCACAAACGAAACGAAACAACAACAAAAAAAATTGTCATAACTCATGCATGATACATCGGGAAACAAAAAGGTCGGGCATTTTGATATACATGTACTGAACAACTGACGACAATTTTCGGTCACGTTTCTTTTCACATACACACTCATTTCCAGTCGATGTTTTTTTATTTTAAATTTTATTAGAAAGAAATTTAGAAAATGTATCGCGAAAAAAAAGTAATAAGAGCCCCGTTTCAATTTTTGTTGCTTAGCTTGGTGTCTCTGTGTGTGTCTTTTGTTATTAGTGTGCTGTTTTTTTTCTTCTCTCCATCGTTTCGAATTCGCGCGCCATTCGAGAAAATGAAATGAACGCGCTAGCTCATGGTGAAATCATTATGGCATGTCTAGCAAGAAATGGCAAGACGTGCAATTTCGATTTGGGCGTACGATTTTGTCGTCACTGCCACACTCATTTCACACACGGTGAATATGATATTTTTCGAATGTGGTTTTTCGATTCGTTTTTATGTGTCTTTGTGAATCTCTGTATTTTTGCGGGGTTTTTTTTCGTGTGTTTGTGTGTATAACCAGATTACATTTTTATACTCCAATTGTTGCTCGTTCGTTTTTTCTTTTTCATCATCTCTCGATTGAGAGACTCCATTCATAGTGATCCCATCAACTTCATCACCATCACCATCATTGAGCACTCACCGTATGTTTTGGTATGTATGTATGTGCGAGTGGTTGAGATCATTTGCATGCACATTCAATCTCGTAATCATTCGCGTTTATCTCATAAACAAATGCGCTATGAGTATTTTTTTTTTCTCATTATTTCTTGTTTGCAAATGAGCGTTAGTTTCCATATGATTTATTCCCGTAATTGTTGACTGAGCGCTGGCAAAATGCGTTTACCGAAAAAAAATCCAGCCAGCACATGCACACCACACCAAATGCAAACAAAATGAATGTGCAAGAATGAATGAATGAAAAAAAAAGAACGCACCAAACAACAAACATATTGAAAATTGCTGCTCTGGAATAAAATGCACGAGTAATTCGCGAAACAACAATTAGCAAATCCGTGCACACTTACACAAATCCGGAGTATAGTGCGTAATACAAAACAACAACAAAAAAAAATCCACAACAAATTGAATGAAAAAAACACAACGGCAACAACAACAATGAGAATCGAATGGCACTTTTTCTTTGTATATTCTAAACATTGCCATTGGCATGGTAGTGATTGCGAATAGAACTTATGTATTCAGAGCATATTTTATCGACATAATTTTTGTTGTTGTTGTTGTTGTTGCGACTGTGTGGCTACAGCTTCAGTGCTCTTAAAAAATCGCATTTATAAAAGCGGTTGACCGTGCCGTGATTTTGTTTTGCTTTCAATGCACTTCAAACGCAGGATGCATTAACCCACCGAAGCAATAAAACAGATAAAAAAAGAGTAACCACACTTATTGTACGTTCAAAATGGGAACATCAGCGATTGCCTTTAATTTTGTGCGCGAATGATCCTTTTGGGAAGAAATGAAGGTGAAAAATAAAAACGAAACAGAACATGTTCTTTGGGCAAAAGAGGAGTGAAATTTAAAATGGTCCGATAGAAAAAAACAATGGGCATTGAATCGCGTGATTGAGCATAGAGAAAAACGTATCGAATGTCTTCGTTGCATTTGGAGTTTTTGGCATGTAAAGTGAGCCAGATAAACTTGGAATATTACCAAAATTGGTGATATACAATTTTCTATCGATCCGTTTGCAATATCCCAAAATCGGCATTTTAATCAGAGTACCGTCGCCCGTTACCATTGCTGTTGCGATCCATTGTTAATAATGGCAAATGGTCTTACTTTTATTCGGCATGAACTCGCCTAGATATTCACTTCGCACAGTGCATTTCTCTCTCTTTCTAGCGAAACGAAAAAAATTTACGTTTGCCACACATACACATTCGAATACACGCAAGCAAATGCACACATGACAGAACCATAAAACTACACACTGACATGAACATGAAACGAACGAAGAATGCATTTGGGCTCGAGAGTGTAGTTGAACAAAAAAAAACTATAACAACATCAACAATCGAATGGTACACTGTTATGTATGGCGTATATATGCGCTTCGCACTGTGTGTTCTGTCTTCTCTCGCTATCGATGTCTCTTTGGCATCGCAGTGGCGAGAAACGTATGTTCGATATATATATATATATAAATATGGGATATCTGTGTGTGGTTTTTTGGGCGCAGATTATGGGATTTCAATGGTTCACAGTTTTTACGGTTTGTTGTTTAGACTGGCTGCCTTGCGTTTGTTAGCTGGCTGGCTGGCTGGATGTGTATCTATGTATTTGCGTGCGCGTCTACAATACACAATGCGTATTCGTTGTCACTCTTTATACACTTTATTGGGCATATATCTTGTGTTTCATTTATCACAATTGCTCGTGCAACGAACGGAATCGGAATGAGTTAAAGCGAAAGAAACGAAAACAAAAAAATGCGGCGACGAATCAAATTTGTTGTTGTTGTTGTTTTTAATTTTATGTTTGTTTATTCCAGGCAATGTTCATCGTGTCTATCTCTATACTTTGTTTATATTTTGAAATCCTATCATTGGTGGAAATCGTCTATACAGTCTGCATACTGTATTTGATTAAGCCGACCAAATTTGAGCACGAAGTGCATCTCTCCTCTATCTGTTTTACACACACACACACATAAATATATACACACAGATACTTTGTAATGCACAAACACACTGAACATACTCTCTCTTTTCTATTTCTATATCTCTCGGTGTGTGTTTTTCTTCGGAAGCGATAATAAATTTTTTTGCACTTTCTTGGAATTTGTAAACAATATTTCATCTTTGAATCACACTAGTATGGCTTTTCGACTCTCTTTCTGCATAACTATTTATACATTCTTTTTTTTTTTCTTCATCAAATTTACGACTTAGTACGTATTTTCATGCCAAGTCGTGTTCCGCTTGCACATGCACTTTTCAAATGCACTTGACTTGAAGAGAAAATTGTATTTATTCGTTTTCTTTCTGTCTCTCACTTTGCAAAATAAACCAGAAAAGAAATTGCACTTGAATATATCTTATATTTCTTTTTTTTTTCGACTAAACACGTCAAACTCAACAAAACTTAAAACCCATTCACACATTTACATGAATCGAAACGAATTATTTCAAGGAATACCGTATGTGCACTAAATCGTTGTTGTTGTTATTGTTGTTGTGTACATATTTTTATTACTTCGGTTTGTGCATTCATTTGCTATTGTTGTGTCTTTTTCTTGTGCTTGAATTGTTCGAGATTTTGACGGCGCTGTTGCGTTTTTTTATCACTCCTCGTATTTTTCGTATTTTGTTGTTCGAATTTTATGTGAAACTATTTCTGTGCAGCGACCGCGCGCGCTCTCCACAATGTTTACTAATAAAAAGGCGAATATAGTGCAAATACATACGGATGTGTATGCAAACGCCGATTAAGCCAGCGGGCTACTACACCCTTATGCGCGCTGCTGACTGTCAAAATCAACCGACAACGACGACGACGATGATGACGGCGACAACGACCAAACAAAACCAGCAGCGGTTGCAGCGTGTGCATGGAAATTGCAAAATGGTCGTCAGCACAATACACTCGAATATAAAAAAAAACACATTCAAATCAACACTATCCCATTCGCTCTATCGCACTCACTCACTTTCAATTATACTTTATTGACAATAGCTGCAGTAGTTTTGTATTTCAATCTCGATTGAATTCAGCTGTGCTTTGCCGCCGATTATATTTTGGTTTTGCGGGCGGATTTCGCAGATTCACCAGACACATACACATGCATATTGGTCGCAATTCAAGGAACACACACACGCACACTCAACCAAATACATGCAAACACACATGAAAACAATAGAACATTTGCTTTAGTCAATTTCACAAGACCATTTTACTGCTGTGGTGTTGATAAGCTACCGATCGAACTACTTTTAAACATTATCAGTACAGTGATTTACTCAAGCCATTATTCCTTTGTTTTATTAGCTTTTAAATTGATATCGCCCGGGCTTTGATATCGATTATACTATATTTCATATAAGATTGCCCTAAATTTACTACATTTGTTAAATCTCTTCGCTCTCTTATCCTCTCTCTCTCTGTGTCTGTCTCATTTTTCTCACAATGTTGTTGATTTATGAATGATTCGCATACTCAAAATTTGTATAATGATAAAAAAAACTAACACGTACCGTTTGATTTATTTATGCTTTGTTCTTCATATGATAAATACTGTAAAACAATTTCACATTCTTTATTTGAACATTCAAAACGATATCAGTCTATCCGTAATGTAGTTTTCATTTATGTTATATTCAGCACTTAAGGTTTTCACGTTTTGTATATATATATATGACTAATGTTGTCTCTCTGGAACAATCTCTCTAAACAAAAAAAAAATAGAGATAAGATCGTGTTATGGTAGTCGATACACCATGAATGAATGTCGCAAAATTTTGGTTCGAGTTTTATCATGTGCGCATTTCCAATCCGATCGTCCAATAGAGTTTTATCAAGCGCACACAGCTTCAAAACAAATATTCGCTTTGTACATGACTTAACTACGGATGTTTGCCATTGATATTTAGCACTTCAATTTGATTTTTTTAAAGATTTTTCACTTAAATTGATGGAAAACTAACCAATAAAATGGCTGGCCACACTCAATGTACAAAATGTTCTTTGTATGTATTCCATGTTATCAGGTCACAGCTTTATCGATTGCTTTTGATCTGTTTATTGAAATTTTATCATTGATTTTTAATTGAAATTGCAATGATCGTTTGTGCATACTCAGCATTGCGTATAATGAACAAAATAACCTTAAAAATCGCTATTATACATTGAGAGAGGCTCACTCTCTGCGAAGCTTCAGTAAAGTAGAGAAAAAAAATGTTTTGTATAAAGGAAAAACGATCGAGAGAATACTAATGAAAAGAACAACAACAGCAGAAGAAATAGTAGAGAAAAAAACACACAGCACACACAACGTTTCAAGAAAACGAAAAAGAAGAATCAACAACAGCAGAAGCAGCAGCAGCAGCAGCAGTAACAGAACGAGAGGCAAATACACAAAATATAATCATCAAGTTAGATAGATATGCTGTTTGCGTTTGTGTGTGTGTGTGTCGGAGTGTGTTGTTGTTTTCGGTTATTGTTAGGCTGTTGTGCTTAGGTCACTTTTTCAACTCGCTCTTTCTTTCATTCGTTCACTCTCTCTGTGTCTGTCTGTTATTTGCTGTGCATGTATTTGTGTGTGATTCATTTGGTTATGAATCGAAATCGGGTTCCTCACATCTCATAATGATGATGGTGGTGTAACAACATTTGGCGTTTTTTTTTCTTCTCTTAATTCGAATTAAATTTTTCACAGGTTTAATTCGGTTTATACTCCCTCTCATCGTTCGATCGGTGTCTTCGACTTAATACATGTCAAACAATGCAAACGCAATGCGATGATCAATACTATTGTGTATGATCTCATTTTGTTCGCGTGATATCGAAATGCGTTAATTGAATGATTTGCGATCGAGGATCGATTGTATTCGATCGATTATTAAAAATTTATTTCAAAAAAAAAACTCTATCAGACTGAGATGAAAGATGGGTCGGGTCAATCGAACAAACAAAATATGTCGAGAAAACAATTGCGAACGTAATAACATTTATTGAGTCACGCGTATATGTGTCTTTCTATTTACGAAATCGATTCAATATTTACCATTTGAATGAATAGATTCGGTTCTGGAAGTTTGTGATAATTTTTTTTCTTTCTACTCCGTTGCTTCTTTTTAATTCGTGCAAATGTGAATACGTTTCAATTACACTTATTTCATATTTGATATTTGGAACATTTTTTACGCTTTGGCAAAATACACAAATTCATCAATTTGATGTTCATTGCAAAATATTTACGCGATCGCCAGCGAAAAATGGAAAAACAATACGAAGCACACTTATTTTATAGATCGAATAGAGTCTCTGCATATATTTCGAACTAATTAATTTAAAACAAAAATTGATTCACTAATTCAGGACTTCTAGTCCCTACCGTTCCATAATTCCAAATATTTTGACGTACCATCTATTCACACTCGCACATTCTGGCACTCGCACTCTTTATACACACATGGATCACTTGGTATAATTTTGTAATTGGTTGCTTATTGATGTAAAGAAATTATTGGCAGAAGAAAAGAAAAAAAATGAAGCATAAAACAAGGCACTTTCAGTCTCTTTGATTTTGTATTTTGACGTATACCAATTTTCTGTATAGAAATGTTCAAATTTTTATAATTTGTGTATGTTTTCGTCACGAAATGCTCATTGTTTTATTTAATTTTTTATCTTGTCGAAATTCTTGGTTGTTATTTTTCACATCTTCGTTATTTTTCATCTCTATTTCACGCTGAATTGTTTGTTTTCTATTTACTTTCTATTGTTTCAATGAGGAGCCGTTTGGGTTGGTGTGCTCGGCCAAACGTTTTGTTTTTGTTTTTCTTTCTCTGTCTCTCACTGTGTCGGTTTCGTCTCAAAATTTAAACACGGAGAAATAGAACATTGTTCATCGAGACAAAATAATAAAAACCACACCGATTACACCGCAACTCTCAAATCATTTTTGGATCACAGAAATATAAATGAAACAGATACATCACACCGAATAAATTGCAACGAATCGCGATTTTTTTTTTCTTCTTCCTTTTTCTTTCTTCACTTTTTCTCTTCGTATCTTATTTTTTTAATAAAAATATTGTATAGACTTGTATGAATGAACTAACGAAATGTTCTCCTTTTTTTCTCGAAAAAAAAGTTTGTTGATTGTCAAAAATAAATCGGAAGCAAATGCAATGTATAAAAAATTTAAAATTATAAATGCACACACAAAAAAATAACACTAAGAAAACAGAAAATTTATTGTTTTTCGCTGTTGCGCGAACATTTTTCACAACTCAAACACTCTCTCGTCTTGTCGTGCATATCACAACAGTAAAATCATTGTTGCGGACACACATAGTGAGAGCCAAAGAGACATACATCCAGCAAGAGAGCAAGAAAGCATTACATACATACAGCAACAGAGCAACAACAACGAGAGTTGCACGACAGAAACAAGAGAGATGAATTGAGAGAGAGAAAAAATTCCAACAAGTGTTCGCCATATTGTTTTTTCCATTGAAAAACCTCATAGAGCGTATTTTTTTTTGTTATTTCCTTTCTCGTCTCTCGTTTTTGTCATATTACTTCCATCTCATATATTAGCATCTCTCTTTGGAACTTTTCTCTCTTTCACCCGCTTAGTGTATATGAATGTTTGTTCTATAGCTGTCGCACTTACGCATACTGACACACACACATACATCTGCTGTGTGTTAAATGCCAGAGTCAATGTGTGACTGAACAAAAACAAAAGCCAAATGTTATTGTGGCACGGTGCGTAAATGAGATAGAAATATGAGTTCAACATGGAGAGAAATATATAAGTCACGGGTACGTCAATGTTGTTCTTTATTCCAAACAACTGACCGACATTTGTATTGGTGAACTGTCAATTCTGCATTTCAATCTCGCCCTCTGCATGCGTATGCATTATTTTTGTTTTCAGTTGTTCATATTTTAAATTACTGCCGAATTGTCAACCCTATTGAATTAAAAAAGAATTTTCAAGATGTGGTTTCCTTAGAATCTAGCTTCTATCCATCATTTTATGAAATATCTTGAATATTTTATGCTACTAAACTGAAAAAAATCACTCGCATGGACATTACTGACACAGAGATGGAGCCAGAGTGTATGAAATCAATTAGCTTGGGAACAAAACAAACAAACGATCGGTTAAATGCACAATAATAATGGGATACTGTCATCGGCACTTTCAAAATATTCCGGAAGAAAATTAAATTCGGAAAATAGTTTGCGCCCGATTCAATTGCAAATGGATTGTGATGGCATATTTTCGCTCGATTTGTTCATTTGTTTTTTTATTTTTCGCAAAAGTATGCTAATACGCATGTGCCTAAATGTTTGACAATTTACGATTTGGAATAACAAGTTCTTCCTTCGTGGTGATATTTTTTGTGTATATGTGAACTGGATAAGCTAAAAAAACCTACAATAGTGAGAGAAAAAAAAGCGAGAATTAGTTTTAGAGTGTTCAGATAATTGTGTGTTTAGGATTTAGTTGAACGAAAAAATCGACGAAAACTGATAAGAAAAGCGCATCGAAACTTTTACGTGTTCATTGTGTTTGCCTTGCAATTGCAAGCAAGAATTACCACCATTCGTCGTCGTCGTCGGTCGTCGAGAGGTGAGAGAGAGTGTCAAGAAACATCCGCGCAAGAAGCCAAGCAAACGTTGATGCCTCCTCATTATAATTTGCAATTTGATTTTATGTTTCCATTTGAAATTGATTCGCCGACGACACACATTTTCATTTCAATGTTCACTTTTATCGCATTGTGATTTCTTCGCGCGGATTTGCAACAGAGATCTGAAAGCAGCGAATTCAGTTTTACGTGAGCAAATTCAATTGCTCGCACAATTTATGATTTTTTCAGTTTTCTTTTCCGTTTTTTCTTCATCTATTTAATTTTTGAATTTGTGACTACGAAGCCAAACACAAACCGAACACCGAACGAAAATAATCAAAGAAAGTGTGTTACGTGCAATCTATAACACATTGTGCGATTGAGTGATAGAGAGTGTGGTTGAAAATGAACGAGGCGGCTATTGTCACACATCTACCCGATAATATATTAGAAGCAATTTTTTCGTACTTAGATTTACGTGATTTGCGAAATTGTTCGCTGGTGTGTAAAAACTGGTATAGATATTTAAATGATGAAAATAATGATGTGTGGCGAATGCATTGCATACGAAAATTGGCCGAAGATGCCATTAAATCCGATTTATTGTCATCAGTCCCAACGTATAAAGCAAAATTGCGAGCATTTTTTCACGCATGGAATCCAAACGATTGCTCCCGTAATGTATTTATCAAACCAAGTGGATTCACATTGCACAGGTAGGCCATGTCACATGATATTTCATCAATTCACTATATAATAATCGTGCTGTGGCCGTTGTTGACATATTCAATTAGCTTTTATATCCAATTAAGCGACACCGCAACATAGTTCACCGCAACATTGTTTTTATATTACACAAATAAAATCTAATGTTACACGCGCGCACACACACACACTCAAACACAAATCACTTACAATTCCGTTTTTTCTTTCGTTAACCCATAGAAATCCGGTGGCACAAAGTACGGATGGATCACGAGGTAAAATTGGCTTTCGTCAGGGACGTCATGCATGGGAAGTGATGTGGGAAGGGCCACTTGGTACCGTTGCTGTCGTTGGAATATCAACACGTGATGCTCCACTTCAGTGTCCCGGCTATGTGGCATTGCTCGGCGCTGACGATCAAAGCTGGGGATGGAATTTAGTTGATAATCATTTATTGCATAATGGTGATGCAATCGGTAGTTATCCATTGCTAAACAATGCACCAAAATATCAAGTTGGCGAACGGATACGAGTCATTCTGGATTGTGACGATAATACGCTATCATTTGAAAAAAATTACGAATTTCTAGGTGTCGCTTTTAGAGGTGAGTATGGCGGTGTTTTTCTCTCTCTCCCTCTCTCTTTTCGTAATAAAATTTAAAATTTGATGATATTTCTCTCATTTAGATTTACCTGATAAAACATTTTATCCAACTGTATCGGCGGTATATGGGAACACCGAAGTGTCAATGGTTTATTTGGGTCATCCGTTAGACGGCTAAATAACGAAGAAACGAACAAAATAAACGAAACAAACATTCCATCATATTCTGATTGTACATAAATTTGCCGTATTTTTGGGGATTTGTACATATAGATATCAACTCTTTTTTTGTTGATTTTCTTCTTTTTTTTTTAAATTACACACATACACACCACTCCTCCGGCAAAAAGGAATCAGAAGATTGCCCATTGTGCCATTTAGCGTATGCATCAATTCAAATTTACACGCGCAAGTGACCAAAATAACTAAAGAAATTACACATACACACAAGAAAATCATTTCACCATACACTCCAATCAACAATCAATTAGTTTTAACGATACTCACAATTTAAAAACGAAAACAAACAAAAAAACCAAAAAACTTTATTATTTCTATGAAAGCAGTGAAGTGATAAAAGATTGTCGAATACACGCGAATATGAAATACAGCTCAAACAGAAATGGTCTGGATTATCGATTGAAACACATGTCGAAAATGATTTTGGCTTAATTTTATTCCAAAAATACCAATTAACTTGCATACTCTATCCGTAAATTTTAATATTCCGTTTTGTATAAAATGAAGTGTTTATCAAAGTGTGGAAAGAACAATATATTTGATAAAAAATTATCGGATGGTTTGTTCCAAATGTAGTGCGAATAAATTGTGAAAAATACATTATCAAAAAATGCAGCGTTGCAATCGAGCGAGAAATGAAATGTTCCTCTTTAAATCACGACTTAAGTCAAAGATGTGCGCGTTGAGTGAAAAAGCACAGCCTCACCTCATTCTATGTACTTATCCAAAGCGCATACGATGCACAATGATATTAAGTGGCCGATATGATACAATGAATGGCATTGTTATTAAGAACACCCTATCGGCACTTTATTTAAAAATTATTCGCATAGCCAACCATCATATAATTGCAATTGATTAACGTGCACACTATAATTCCGCGCATTGTGTTTCACTCGAACGATGTAACATAATTACATACCAAATCATTTCTAAACGTATCATTTCGAATTTGGAAAAGCTTTATTCTCTGTCTATATTTCCAAATAAACCTCTTAAATTCTCTTATTATCGTGTAACATTCCATACATCTAATGATCAATTTCAATGGAATGATTCTTCCAACGAATGATTCACATAAAAATGATTTCATTTGTTTTATCATTTTTGATTAATTGATATATATATTTTTTTGTTTTGTTTTGTAATTTGTTTAAAGGCCAAAGATTATGTTAAGTAAAAAACGAGCAACTAAAAATTAGAAGAAAAAAAAGAAGCTCGAGTAGCTGACGAAGGTTGAATGAGACAATGTTTAAAATATAATTTGGTATCAGAATGGCATAAGCTTTGGATTTGCCTTTTTTTCTATAAAAAGGATGTAGCATTTAAGGGTTTTTTCTCTATAAAATGAAAAAAAAAGTGTCAATAAATTTTGATGCAATATTACACATAGATTATGAAACCAAAAAAGACAAATTAAGACACATGTTGAGTTACCATTCATTATTGTACAATTCCTAAGTTGTTGTCAAATCACTTTTTAGATATAATCAATTCAATCTCACTTTTTTTTTGAAAGATCACACATTTCTTTTTTCTTCTTGGTGAAGATGCGAAAGGTTTCATTTTCAATTTTGTTTGTTTATCTTTAGTTTATTGTATTTAGTGAAATGAAACAAAGGTCAACAGGTCATTTTTCGTTTTAAAATTATAAGGACCATAGTTCAAGGTAATATTTATGGAAATTTAGTCCAAAGTTTTTTCTTCGAGTCTGAAAAAAAAACAGACATAGAAATTAATGAATGATTTTGTATTTTTCCCGAGATGGCAATTTATCTATATATTTTTGCATCTCTGATTTGGATAATGAACAAATATGACTAGTTTTCAATGTTTGCACTTATAATTCAAATGTCATATGTAAAAAAAAAAACTTTATTTATGCATATAAAAGAATGAAAGGAGAAAAGAAAACGTTACCATTTCACTAATCCTCATTGAATGGTCAATTTTAAGAATCTCTTAAACAAAATAATGAAAAAAAAAAAACATATTGTAAATAATAAAGTCTGAAGTAAAGTGAATAAAAAGAAAGAAAAATCTGTAAAATATTTGCCTTTTTTTAATGGATATTCTTTCATTTTACAATTCTATAAATTTGCACATTTCTCAGTTTTAAAATTGAATTATTATTTTTTTCAATTCAACTTTTTTAAATCAATTTTTAACAATTAAAAATCGTCTTTTCCACATCTTTCGCCAAAAATAACATAAATTTGAATTATTACTTTTACGTACATATGAATTTACATTTGAAATTCACACCAAAAGTGGCGCTATCTACACATTCATTGGTTTTTATGCTCAATGGCAAATGTCAAACGATTTGTCATAAGTCATACACACTCCGTCGATATTTATGTAACGAGGCGCAAAGTGAGTTTTGGAAAAAGAAAATAATCCTTATCGTAAAAAAACAAAAAACAAAAAAAAAAACGAAATATAAACAAATCAGCCCTTTGACTGATTCTTGGGCGGAGCATAGTATTTGTCGAAATAATCAAATGTTTATTGTATTTTTTATAGGGCTGATTCGGACAGGACTAGTATTGTAATTTGTTTAAATTTAATTCGAACGGTCAACCACGAAATAGAAATAAAAAATGGTTTTGGTATCGGTGCTTCGACAAACGGCTGCCAAACGGATTCCATTGATAAAATTTCGACGTCAACGTGAAGAAGAAGCGTTGGCTGCACGTAGTGGAACGTTGAGTATTGATGGATTGAAGAAATCGGCATCATCAGCTGCGGTATGTTTATTTCATTTGTGTGTGTGTATACGAGAAAAATCACCGATCAAAATTGATGTTGACAAATTTAAAACGAACAGAAAATCATTTGACCATGAAATTGTTTCTTTTCGCAGGCAATTAGCTTACCAACAATTGAAGATTGGCAATTGCCAAACCGGTATCGTAGAAAACCATTAGACGCAGTAGAAATCGAGTACATCAATCGTGGCGGTCCAGCTTAGATCGTAATCGTTAATCGTTGCCAGAATATAGATAAAAAATGTATCCCAAACAAAGTCGACTAAATCGAATGCATATTTAATGAAACGTCAACCACACATAAAATCATATGAAAAAAAATACTTACCATTTAATGAATAAAAATCTATCTTGTTAGTTAACATTAGTGAGTATTTATTTTATTGAATAAAACACGTTTAACCATAGATTTATTTGGAAAAATTCAAGTCAGCATTTAATTTGGAAATAAATTAAAAGAACGAAATGATTGCTGGCCTTTTCTGCAATCGAATTCAAAATGAACAAATAATTTGTTGGAAGGAAGCAGCAGTAATACTCAATTCAAAATTAAAAAAACAATTGTCTATGATTGAAATAAGCGTGACGTTCCATTGGCAACTAAACACATCGTTCAATCATGTCGTAGCAAAACGGTGTGTTTACAAAATTTCTAGATCACAATGTCTAACTTCCGGGAACTTTTTCTGCAAAAAGAAAAATCGGATAATTTATTTGTTTATTTTTATATTTATGATTTGTGCATGTTGTGTTTACCCTTAATTTGATTTCAATTCGATCGATTTCGCCACCCATTAGATCAACAATATTTTCGCCGTGCTTTAAAAGAAATGTTTCCAGCTCGTCGACCGTTTCAAACGTTTTTACTTCCTAAAAATGCAATTTTGTGGTTTAGATTTAAACGGAATCTTCTATGATTTCGGTATTCTTACCTGAAGAAGTTGGTTTAAGTCCTGCTTTTCTAAATAATATCTAGTTAGCTCTCTGCCATCGAAATCGAGTTCAGCCTGAAAATGGCGAATAACACTCAAAAAAATGTTGGTTTTTTTTTAAATCATAAGATCCCTACCTTATATCGTACTAACGAACTTCCCATATCGATTCCTTTCACATCATGAATTGCTCTGATCATAATGTCTTTCTCAAGTTCAGCATTGATTTTGTCCAATTGTTCTGCCGGTATTGACCTATTTAATGAGACATGAAAATGATTTAAACGGCATTCAAGATGTTTCGAAAACAAATTCGTTTGAATTTTACTATGTTCATGCATAATGGGTTTTATGTGCGAATATTTTTGAATTTCGATTTTACTAAAATCCCGTTTGTTTCTGCATTGAACATCAAGACTACGTCGGAATTGATAGAAAAATTTCGCTAACCGTCCAACAAGTGCTTGAACATTTGTTGAAATGATGAATGAAGCGACACCGCCAAGCATGCATCCGACTAGTAATGAACCGATCGCATCTGGTGTTGATGATTGTGTATAAGTTGATAGTCCCATGCAGGTAGCAGCAAGTATAACGCTAGCCACAGCGGCAGCATCTTCAAATAATACTACATTTACAGATGGATCTTCTCCGCGCATCACATATTCTCGAAACGAAACATTCGCCGATTTGGCCGATTGACGAATCGAATTCGTAGCAACCATGAGTGTGGCACCTTCGGACAATAGCGAACCGCCCAAAATGCAAAATGCCCAAAAGAAATCTTCCAACGGTACGGGTGTTAGCAAACCCATAATACCGTGATAAAATGATAAACCAGTGCCAACACAAAATATACCAACACCCGATATCAACGACGATACATATTTCATATTTGTATAACCATATGGATGATCAGGATCAGCGGTCTATGCAAAATTCAACAACAATTAATTGAACTGCAGCAATGCAAAACAAACAAAATGTAATATACCTGTGTCGACTTATGAATTCCATACGCTAAAATTATTTGATTTGTTGTATCAGCAAATGAATGTATACATTCAGCAAACATACTATGCGATCCGGTATAAAACCATGCACACAATTTAAATACAAAATTTAGTGCATTTCTGTAGAGAAAATATAACAACACCAGTTATTATTGCGAGATATTGAAATGAAAAAGCGAAAAACTCAGAACAGTGATAAATCGTACATTACAATAGCGGTTACAACTACACGACCCGATCGGCTCCTCAGACCCGATTCAATGCTAACGGTAGTTCTTTGATCCATTTCTCGGCGATAATCTCTGAGCCGCCGTTTAACCGTGAAAATATCTGAAAAAAAAAATCGAATAATTTTTTCTTCTAATTTAATTTGGCAATTTAAGTTGGCTTCTTACTCTGTTGATGTTGTTTTCGTTCGATTTCCCGTTTTAAACATTCGCGCAATAGATTTTCACGTGAGCCCCATACTTCGATTGATTTGGCTTCGACATCTTTGCGCCAATAGACAATGATCGGTGGCTCTTGTTCATACGGTGAACGTCGTTTCGTTTTCGGCAACGATTCCAAATCGGACATTTTCAGTAGAAAATCGGATATTGCACGAGCTGGCGTTATAAAATTTCGTTCAAGCGATGATCGACTAAAATCAACACGTTCTCTTCTTAACGGCTTGGCCGTTGCACTATCACCCGTCAACGATGATTTTGATGATTTCTCATTTTTCTTTGTTATTTGTTCCAGTACAATGTGCTCAAGTTTATTATCTTTTGTGGTTGCATGCACAAGAAGTGCTCCTTTCTTTGTGAGCAATTCAATAGACTTTTCGGTTGGTGACTGTGACTCCAATTGATTTGGTTGTAAATTTATTAATGCTTTGTTTGGTTCCTTTTTCATATCTTCAACGACCGAAACAATTAATTTTCCCGCTTTGGTGGTTAATTCATGTGGACTCTTTTTGACTGCACTATCATTTTTATTATCTTGTTTGTTAAGTGGTCTGTCTGGTGTCGATGATGATTTATTTGCATCACTCGAATCTTTCGATTTCAGAATTGTCGTTGAATTCTATTTCGTAAAAAAAGAAGATTGAAATCAATGAAAATTCAATTAAAAAAAATTCATGAAAATAGTATTAGTTTTACCTTTTGAGCGTCATTTTTATTACAGCCATGAATTTGTGTTGTCGAGAAACGTCGCAAATGACCATATATCGAATCGAATCTTCTGTTGGTTTTCGAAAGTAGTTCGCCAAATATTGGTTTAACAAGGTCATTGCGGTAATAAGATTTGGTCGGAATCTGTAAGAACCAAATTAATTAGCAAAATTATTTCATTAATTTATTGCGTGAATTTGATGAATGTTTACTATGATGACAAAACAAAAACAAACCAATTTTCGATAATAACATATGAAATGTCAAGTCATGATATATTCAACATATAAAAATAGGTCATTTCATGATACTAAGAAAAATGCAAACAATTTTTTTTTTTTTGAGCAAATGCATAGAATACACACACCAACTCAAAGTAATTAGTGAAGGGAATTTTTTTATTAGTTATACAGCAAAAGATGAACAGAACTTACGCCTTTCCGAACAATATTGTGATACTCTCGAATGATATACAGCTGCCGACCGTTATTGATTGCCACCCGAATGATGTCAGCGTGTTTGAGTATCATGATTGAAATTGCTAAATCTATGGGTGAAATAACAGTCCACTAGTCAGAAATGTTGCTCTCTCTCTCTCTATCTGCTTGTTTCCCTTTATTTTCATTATTTGTCACACATTTTCCTGTGGGATTTCATTAAACTTACATAGTTATTCAGTAATTGGAATATGTTTTGATAATGTGCATAGTTTCTTGATCACATTGATGAAGTGGCGCTCAGCGCATTCGAGCCGATTGAAAGTGTTTTGATGTTTGGTTAGTCGTTTGAGTTAAGAAGATCTTTGTGCAGCAGCTAAATCCATTCTTTGGAAATATAAATAAATATATATGTATCGGATAAAGTGATGTTTTGTATGCGGTCGTTTTCGATATCACTTCTTTGGCAAATCTTTCCGCTTACTTCTTATTTATGTTTTCGATTCGATTCTCCGTTTTTCATGAAATTTTTTATATTTTTTTTTGTTAAAATGCGAGAATATGTCAAACTAACACTTTCATAAACAACATAACGTTGCGACCATCCATCTGCTTGACATTTAATCATAAGCTGCAACTTAACGCCTATTCACATATTCAACATTGATATTTTTTGATGCAAAATATTGTATTTCATTCATATTTTTCTATATATTATATATTTTTCACGGCGAAAATAAATAAAAATGTCAATCATTTCGAAAAATCGGTTTCGTTTAATGAATTTTACGTCCGTTTCGATTGAAATAAATTTTTAATTTCAAATTTTTCCGGCAAATTTAACGTCGTTTGCTTTTGATTTAGACGTTCTTCTTCTATCAATGACAGCTCAGTCGCGTGTGTGACTGAAGCAAAATATTATAAGACTGATTTCAATTTCGTTACATTGTGCAAATACGATTGTTCCGATAAATTTTGAATCAAAGAATATTTTTTTGTTAATCAGTCATAACAACCACTCATCGTTATATATTTTTTGTGTATTTAGTTTGTAACCGAAATTTTTTTTTAGTGCGCACAATGTCTTCTTTCACATTTGGACAGCCACAAACAACAGCAGCAGCGAGTAGCGGTTTTGCTTTTGGCGCTTCAACTCCAGCTCAACAACAACCGGCGGCGCCATCATTTGCTCAAGCGGCGGCGCCATCATTTGGATTTTCAACACCAGCGGCCCCAAAAACAGCGGCACAAATCACCGCAACACCAAATACAACCAGTACTTTAACGTTTGGTACAAGTGCACCACCGTATGGGGCACAGACGACAACATCAACAGCCGCCGCACCAGCATTTAGTTTTGGTCTTGGAGCAACATCAACCACAAGGTACATTTACGAAATTGATCGAATTAAAATGATTAAATGTGGAAATGCTAAATTTTTATTTCAATGAAGTGCAGCATCGATTCAATTTTATGTTCCAATCTATATATTGATTGATTTATTTTTATGTTCGCATTTAATATTCCAATATTCATGTAATCACTTATAAAATTTAACAATCTTCATTAAAATCGCCACAATATCAATAGTGCACCATCGCTTGGTTTGTCATTCGGAGCATCAACGGCCGCAACAACAACACAACAAACTGCTCCAACATTTGGTGCTTTTGGTGCGAACACTGCTAACACATCGCTAACAGCGAATAAAACAATTGGAAATGCTTTTGGTTTAACGACAACAACAACCACAGCAACGGTATCGAACAGGTAGGGGAAAAAACCAATCATCATCATCATTCGATCCAATCCATTAAACTTCCATTTTGATGTAATTCATAATTTATGACATTGGTGTTTTTTTCTCTTCTTCTTCTTCTCCACGCACACCTGTATAATAGTAGTACGCAAAAAATCGGTTTGGGTGGCATCGATATAAATGCGGCCCAACCAAAAACGATTGAAGGCCAAACGGATAGTTCGAAAGTGAAGGAGAATCAATTGCCACAGGAAATAATTGCAACCGTTGATTCGTTAAAAGCATACACCAATCAACAGAAAACGATAAGCTCAGATATAGTGCGTGCATCATCACGTAAAATAACAAATGTGAACACTGAATTAGATACGTTAAATTGGGCATTGGCCGAAATCCATTCGAATGTTGAAACAAATTTTGCTGCAATCAAGCAATTGCGTGCCGAAACAAATAAAGCACGTCAAGAGGCTGAAATTGCGCAACGAACACACGAAACACCAGCCGGTTTACAATTTGAGAATACAGCACCACTTCAATATTTTATGGAAATGGTACAAAAATTCGAATCAGATATGTTAACCATTCGTAAACAACTTGAATTGACCGAAACGCATATACGTTCATTAACCAATCCACAAACATTTACGGCTGACGATTTGAAAAAAGGCCTACAGCAAATACACGAATGTTTTGTTGCGTTGGCCGGTCGGTTACAAGAAACACATCGAACGGTTGAAATTCAACATGAACAATTTTTAAACTTGATGAAACATCGGGGCCGTGATAAGGTGATGGTTGAAAGTATTTATGATGGTGGCAACAGCAGTACAGCAGATGGATCACAACCAATTATACAACAAATTGCATCTGGATGCCGTGCAATCATACCAAATGTTGCCTGCGGTCCACCATTCTCCGGACCAACACCATTCTCATCGTTTCGCACTGATCCATACGGTATGTTTCGCAGTTTTACATCCGATCGAAAAGAATTTTCCACACAAAAATTCTGAGACCGAAATTAGTGAAAAATAAAGCATTTTAAGCACCACAGCAATGAAACGACAACAACAATAACACATATTTTTACTGTCAAAATTTTGATGTCAAATGGTGTCGACATTGGTGATGGTATTTTTAAACAGACTGTGTAATCCATATTCATCGTATATGATCCTATGTAAAGTTCTATACTTGATCTAGTTCACATTGACGGTTCAAATCGTTTATGTCCACTAGCCAGTGGTCATGGACTGTGTGTTTCTTCTGTTGCATGTACGTTGTAATGGACAAGTATAGTAACATCGCGTCGTTCAAATAAATTTAAAAATCCGTCCACTCGTGTCGACATCATCTAGCACGGTAGTAGGGATTTCATTGCTGTGTTAAGCACACTTACACACATATATATATACACACACACGCACGCCAACGTTCATGTGTATAGATCCGTGCATAGACGTTCGCACACGTTGATGTGTTTAGATTTTAAGCCATTAGAAATATCATCAAATTTACAAATTCGTCAACAGGAATTACGAGTACTTTGGGCATGACATCAGGTAGCACAAATGCATTCGCAGCAACAGCAGCGGCCACACAAAATGGATTTGGTACCATGGGCTCACTATTCGGTGACAATAGCCTTTTGAATGGTTCGGCATTCACATCAAAGCGAGCCAAATGAACATTTGACCAAAAAAAAGAAGAATTTTTCCAAATGATTCATAATGTTCACATTTTCTTTTTTTCTTTTTGTTCAATTTTAGATCGTTAACTATTCAATTTAAAATGAAAATGAAATTAAAAAAAAAATTATTCAATAAAACGTATATAAGTAAGTTCCCAAAGTAAATGTTTATAAAATAATAAATAATTCAAATTTTTGTACGGTTAACCGACTTACATTGTTGTGAATAAAGCAAACCCAAATGATTCCCAGAAAAGTGAAAAAAAAATTGCAGCGGTTTTTTCATTGATGTACATTCCATTTTAAGGTCATCCTTTTTTTTTGCAAAGTAGGTTTTGTTTGCGCAAAATAAATTGAATAAAAAAGCCTTGATTTTTTCGTCGTCATCATCATCAGCATTGTTATTTTATTATGGTTGGCCTCGTCATCGGTCATCTCTGATAAAATTACATTATTTTTTTATAGTTTTCTCTAACACATTTACATCCATCTTATAAGATAAATCCATACAGCTTCTATGCCTATGTATATAACAAATATAATATTGAATCCCATGTTTGCACTGTTTAAAATCAGACAATACATTGAACTAACTGGTCCGCTGAGCTGACAGTACGTTAGCCAACAAAATGGGCTAAAACAATAGACGTTTTTGCTATAATCATGAATCACTTCTATTGTTTTACCCCATTTGGCTGGCTAACGTATTGTCAGCTCAGCGGACCAGTTAGTTCAATATAGTTTCTGGTTTAAATTAATATCAACTATATATTTTTATGTTATTTTGTCAGATTGTCATAACAGTAATTTTATTGGGCGAAATGTTTCATTTATTTCAAATATTTTTTTTTTTTTTTTTGTTTTGGGAGGGAGGTCTTAAGAAGGGCGGTATTGGTGTGTTGATTTATGAATAAAATGATTAAATTTGGTTGCTAATTAATTCCATTACGATTCAGTCATTGTTAACATTTTGAATAATCATTTTAATGCCAAAGCTGTATTTAAATAATGAACTTTTTTGTTTGGTTATTTTTTTTAAATATGTTTTGAATTAGTTTTAATTTTGATTATGTGTGTTGGACTTTCAAAATTAGAAAAGTTTGTTGTTTATTTTCTTTAATAAAAATATAATTAGTAAATAGAGATGTCTAAATTTAGATATTGGCATGGATCGCAACATTTTATAAATTACGATATTGTCCATATAATATATTATTTTACATAAAATACGAAACAAAATAAATTTGTGTATATTTATCATCGAGCCCAACACAATCGATTACTCTCATATCAAATACAAAAGCCATGCACATGTGTAGCATGTGCATGTACATTCATTCCCAAAAAGTGTTAAGTGTGTATGTTGATGTTGTTGGGCATTAACGTATGAGCCGTTTTGTGTTGAAATGAAGAGATTATGGTTTTTCGATGCTGAAAAAGCGTCCGATTCGAGAATAATTCGTTCGCGCCTCTCCAATCTACGCACCACTTCCAATCTATTCGCAACAGTTGTGTATTCATCATCTTGTTGATGCTTGAAATGTGCGTGTTTGTTCGATGCTGCCGTTGATGTTAGTTATTTATTATTCTTATTATTTTGTTCTGGTTTTTTTGGAGATTATTTGATTAATCGCTACGGTGATAGATGACAAGAAGAACATTTTTCCATGAAATATGGATACAAATTTTATGGCATGTGAGAGTAAACCTGAACATCGTCGCGCATATTTATGATGTTACACGATAGAAAGGATTCTCTTACAATGACATAATATTTTTTTTTCTTTTATTTCATTCATTGGTTCTCTCGCTTGCTCGTTTAATTTTCCCATCACTCTTGCCTCTCTTGCTCTCTCTATGTATATATCCGAAAGGTCCATTAATAAAGCTTAAGTGTTCTTTTAGGAAGTGTTCGGTTAGTTTTTGGGCACAACGACAGTTTCAAATATTAGTTTTTCGCTAAACAGAAATGTATAACGTTTATATAATAATAAATAGCTTTGTTGAATGGCACCATTTTCATATCGATTCGGTTGTTGACTATTAACAGCCCGATATCGGCAATGTGAATTATTATAATTTTTTTTTTTGGTTGCAATTAAAGACAAGTTTTTTTTGCTTATTATGGAAATTATGTATATAATCATGACATTTATATTTTTGTTTTGTTTAGACTATAGTACGATAAAGATAAGATTTGCTTATGTTATTTCCATATCGGCTCACACTGTTTCATTCTCTCTGTTTCATTTTTGAATTGTTTTATGTCTTGAACACTGAAGAACATCGATTTTTTTTCTCTGCTTACGATTATTATCTTCCAATACTAAGTACATTTATCAGTTTTAAGATATTCAATGTTTTTTTTATTGGTTTGTTTTTATTCAAAGATTAGAAATATGGTATCAAACACACTTCTGCTTCGAAATACAGCAAGGGCGTTTTTGAAATATAGTGCTGAAAACATTTCTTCAAATGCATTTTTCGGTATGCGTGTGAATGTGTTGTGCATATAAATTTGATTAAATTTCAATTCACATAGCACACTCGAAAATTCATTGTGCTTAATGGTCAAGAGCAACGGTGTTTTTAATTCTCGCCGTTGGCATTTTTTCGAAATAATCAAAGCGAAATTTTGTTTCATCACTTCATTCATGTTTGAACGATTTACAATCTCTTAACCTCAAGGTGCTTGGTGTTTTTTTTTGTTGTTGTTGTATACAATATGTTTATGCCATTTATGTATTTCTTTTCATTCAATAAATAATTTCTATATGTAAATATAAATAAATTTTAAATCTTTTCATCAATCAACTAGTTGATGGTTTTCTTTTGTTGTTGTTCTGGTTCGATTTGATTTGACGTTCAAAGCAAAAGCGCTTCACGCCTTAAATCTCAATCTACACAGATTTTCCATGTGAGTATATTACCATTTTGTATATTATTTCCTTTTCTCAGCACAACATTGTTTTTAACTGCAATAGAATCCTTATTGATTTCTTTGAAAAGGAGAACATTCTCAAAGAACGATATCCACCTACACAACTAGAGCATGCCATACACGATTTTAAATTTGTTTTTTTCTTTCTTCTTCTTAGGTTTTCATATAGTATAGTAAAAAGACGACAGAGATAGAATTAGAGATCGATAGTGATCTGGTAAGAGTGAAAAATACATTGTATAATATAAGAAAAGTTGAATAAATAGAAACCACGTTCTCAAAGTCTTAATAATTTCTCACTCACGCTCAATTGCATTCGCATTCCAAGTTTTATAATTGAAATTTGAAAATAATAAGCGAATTATTTGCCATTCATTCGTATTTTATTGTCGATGAAGGAAAGTTAAAAGCGCATATACACGCTTATATAGATGTATTGAATTCCATTTATTGATAGATGTAATTAAGGGCAATGGTAAATCGGTTTTCTTTTGGTACAAAGGTTGAGGCAAAATTGTGCTTAAACTCAAACGCATTCACAACAATACTATTCAGTTATTAATATATCAATTTGTTGTTGTGCACTGAGAATGAGTAATGAGTGAGAGTGATGAGCGAATCGAGTAATAATATTTCATTCAAAAGGCCAAAATATTCAACGGAAATGTTTGATATTGCTTGAGGAAATGATTTGAGCAAAAAAACGGAGAAGGAAAGAGACAATATTATTGAGGACTCGATAAGAATGCGCAATTCATATGTTGTGTTTACTCAAGAGTATTGAGGAGATGTGTGGAAAAATGATGATCTTGAAACCAGATAAAATGAAATGATTTGGTATTTCGTGTGGGCGACGATATGAAAATGTGTACTCCACTTGGTTCTGTTGGATTGAAAATGTAATGTCTTTGATTCGATCTTAAAGTACTTGCTTCGTCAATGCAAATATAAAAACCTAGACTGATCATGTATTAAAACATGTTGACATATAACTTTTTCTTCCTCATTTTTTTCTTGTTTTTGTTTGATTGCACATGTTCTTAAGATAAAATGCATGAATTACGCTTGCCTCTTGAGCTGCGAGCCTGTATTTGTTGCAAATGTTGTAGCTGCAATGGTGAAGGTACATGAACGGTCGATGGTGGACAGCTACCCGGTTGACTATGCATCGATGAACCGGATCCCATTTGATTCGGCGGCAACGATTGACGACGATTGTTTTTTCGTATCGTTGGACTAAGTTTGTATGCAAGTTTTGCTTGAAGTAAAAGCTCCTTGAAAATCTATTGTTTTGTGTGTGTGTATGTGTATGTACATAAAGTATTGAAAGAAGAAATCAAAAGGGAATTGGGTTTTCATTTTCAAATAAATCGATTGGAAATTTGCAAATGATGGATTCAAATCGGCATTTATGACACAGAGAGAGAAGGAGAGAAAGAAACAAGTATGTACCTGGTTTACGTTCTCATTCTCCTTGGCCGATGCTTCAACAAAACCATTTTCCCAGTCCACGCTTACAACTGATTCCGTTGTGCAATCCTGCATCGAAAAATCATATATAAAATGAATGTAATATAGAAATAACACACACACACGACCAGATTAAAAACTTTGATTTTGATTGCAATATAAAACGACTGACACTAAAAACATAGTGTATCGTCTCGTGTAAAACTTTAAACGAAAGTAAGTTTGAATCGAGCCGTATCATTGTCCCATCACTCGACAATCCTCTTAACGAGCGAAGAACGAAACAAAAGTAGAGAGCACATAAATGCTGAGCAAACAATAACATTTTACAGTGGAAAAAACACGAACGAAAACGAAATTGTCGAGTTGGGTTGAATTGGGTTGGCTTGAAATGAATAGTAAACACTGTTCGTCATATTTTGTGAAAAAGCTTACCTTTTTTGTTTCGGAATCAATCAAATCGATCTTGTTCCCGACCACCACAATTGGTACGTTATTTGTTTGCCTCACTTTATGAATATCATCTCGTATTCGACGCACTTCTTCGAATGTTTCGGTGTTAGTAATATCATAGACTAATATAAAAGCATCTCCACGCTGCAATGATAAATTGCGCATCGCTGGAAACTGTTTTGTTTCCGAGACATTTTTCACACGCCAATTGAAAACGAAAAATAAAGGAAAAAAGAAAATATATATGAATATGTATGTGTATATATAAAAAGAATGCGATATGCGTGCAACGAGCCAGATCGACAATGAGATAGAGTGAGAACGAGAACGAGAAAGAGACGAAACCAATTCAGCAGAAATTAGATTTCCCGTTTTAGATACATACGCTGCACATGACTTTCATAATTCAATAAATTTGATAAATTCAATAAAATGTAAGTGTAAAATTTTATGTTTGCTACGTCCTTGGCTTAGTGTCCTGATATGTCGCATCACATCGCACCATACCACCATAATGTCATGATTTAAAACACATCGTTTTTTTCATCTTCTCTTCGTTTTTATGTTGCACTTTAAATTCACTCGTCTCGCTGTATCCTGCATACACACACACACACACTTGCATCTCTATGGTGTGAATGCATTTTAAATCAAATGCAACGCGCACAATGCTTTGCGTTACTATTAATGCCAAACCACAAATCAACAAACATAAAAGGAAAAAAATGAACAGACTAAAAGAAACCAAAGACACCACTCTGTATAAACACATCGTGGCACATTGTGCAAATATGCGGTGTCGCACTGTGCAATACAGTATCGCAAACCAAGATAAAATCTAAAATTAATAGTCCTAATTACGTTTCGTATTACATGTATACAAACCTCATTCCTTCCAGATGTATCTAAAATTTCTAGTTTCACTTTGACTCCGGCCAAAGCGTATGTGCCAAAATTGGTTTGTTCACTGGTTGCTCTGTGCTTTAGCGGAAAGTCTTTCTCCAAAAATCGACATATCAATGCAGTTTTACCGACCTTTTCTGGTCCCAGCACAACAATTCGATATGGCTCTTCACGTTTGGCCGCGCTCTCAATAATGGCCGCATCGATTTCATGACGATCAAATCTACAGAGAAAGAAAATTTTTATTTCAATTTATTCACATCATTTCAAGGCATATACATTCCTTGCGCGCTCTCTCTCTCTCTCTCTCTCTCTCTCACTCTATTCAATAAATTATTTCGCATTTCATTCGAAAGTTGGAAATTTTGTTGTTGACTTTCATTGGAATCGCTCTTGGCATGCATCAAAATATGCAAGATCATTTCCATTTCGATTTCCATTTTACCATTTTATTCAACTCCCACTTTTTCTCTATGAAATATTCCTAGGTTCATAGCCAACCATTGTTCAATCAAACATAAACAAAAACCGAACGATGGAAAATCGCAAAAGTGAATGTACGCCGGAATGGATAATTTGAAGAATTTCTATGAAATTAACTGGAAATGTGAGCAGACTTAAGATCTACTGTTACGAAAAAAAAATCGAGAGAGAAGGACCGAATGAGAGAAAGAGGCGAAGATAGACAATGAAATAAATTTTCTTTATTTTGTATTTGTTTTATCGCAAAAGCAATTGGTCTATGCCGTGCACCATAGATAAGAAAAAATGAATGGTTTGAAAAATAATAAACTCTCCTATTCACTCATAACACACTATTTACAGACACATACACACACACATAGTATACATAGGGTGCATTTATCTTCTACGATATTAAAAAAAAAAACAATTCATTCGGTTTGGATATATGATTAATTTTGACCGGAGTCAAAAAACGTAACTAACATTTTGGTTAAAGATGATTAAACTGTTCAATCAAAATGTTGTAAAAAATCAAGCGTTCAGAAAGACATACATTTATGCGAGCAATTGAATGATGCTTGCATCATTTGATGCGCATCGTTAGTGCTTTCGCTGTGCGTTCGGAGCTCTTCGTGCGCTGCCGAAGATCCGAATGTATGGCGACAGCACAATCGATGTGCATCAAATGATGCAAGCATCGTTCAATCGCTCGCATAAATGTATGTCTTTCTGAACGCTTGTAAAAAATGAAAATGAAATTTTTCTATTTTTGGACTACTTGAAAACCGACTCGACAGCTGTAGTGATTTCTGTTTGAATGTTCAGCATCTCTGCGACAACTGAGTATATTTGGATGAGCAATTTGAGAAGCTCATGTAAAATGATTGCTCAGCTATTACAGAGTAACTGAGCATTAAAATACGACTGACGGCTATGAATCTTTTTTGTACATTTATTAGATAAAAACGAAAACAAAAAATCGATGCACCCTAATGCACAACGAAACAATTATGATTTACTCACTTATCACGCTTCGGTTTATCATCGGCATTGTCATCCTTCATAAATGAAGGTTGCAAACTCAACCGTCGTCTTAAATGTTTTGCCATCATATTAATGTAATTGTATTCGTATTGGCCTACGCACAATTCCGATAAATAAACTTGCTTTGGGTGATATGACTTTATTGCTCTTTCTGTCCCCCTCTTACCCACTCTCGCTCACTATGACTTTATCTCCGAAGCTTTTGTTTACGTCTGTATAAACTCTTGATGATGTGATTCACTGACTTTTCAATTGGTTCTATTCCAATTGGCATTTGTTGTGGTTGTTGCTGTTGCTGCTGCTGCTTTTTTCCCCTTTTGTTTGGTTATTATATATCTGTTCTGCTCTTTACTTATGTTCGCGGCTCAAGGCTTAAATCATGCTTTACTCGGATGCGGTATAATCAAATTCATGGAGAGTTCATTCTGCATTCTAATTTGTCCGAAACGAGGAATCGAATACACATGAAAGGAGAGAAGAAAAAAATTGGAGAAAAAAAGAAGAAAGAAAACGAAATATTTATTATTTACACTCGACTGCTTTTGAATAATTTGCATTCGTTGTTGATGTACTGAATTTGAGAAAATGTTTGCAAATACGGTAGAATTTGAATAATCGGTATGTACGAGTGATTGTCGGTTGAACCGACAACTCGGTTCATTTTTCTCGTCGGAATGATAATTTTTTTTTGTTGTGTGTGACTAATAAATCAAATGGTGCGATCGCATCCAATTTACAGAATAATCAATAACTTCAGTACAAATGGGTTCTTTTCGTCGAATCCGTTGTAATTACCACTGAATATCCGACCATTGAAACAACAAAAATATGTGTTATTCGATCAATTTAATGGTTTTGTCCATCACCAAAAAAGAGGTAAACCTCAAAATATGTTGATTACATTGCGTTTATTATTCGAGGGATTTGTTATATTATTATTTTTTGTTATTGCTCACGTTGCTGTCGTTTCGCTTAGTTGGCTTTTGGATCAAAGGGCCGTAAACGAGATAGAGAGTGTGTGGTGACACCACATAAACCACAAATTTGCAATTATGCGACAAGCTTTCAACACAGCTCACAGTTTATGTCAGATCAGTTCGAGCTATTACACTGGAGTGTGTGTTCGATAAATTTGCATGAGGTAGGAGTTATCCTGCAGCATTAAAATGTAAATTTTGACGATTCATGCGTTGCGTCGAGCGAGTACTCTTTTTTTTTAGAAATGCAAAGCACAACTCGCTCTCTGATCGAACAAAAAGAGAAATAAAAGCTGTTGTCGCTGTTCTTTCTTTACTCATCTCTTTTTTTGTTATTGTTCTTATTATTTGTTTCTCTTTCACTCTTTATTCTGTGTTGTCATTTGTGTGCTCTTGTGTACCGTTATATTTTATGTTCTTGCACGTTGGAAAATCGCAATGCCATACGTTCGATGATGATAGTGACGAAATGAACGTAACAATACTGAAACCGACAAACGATTAACAGAGAAGAAGTGAGGTGAAGCGAGAGAGAGAGACGAAAGTAAAGTAAATCAGTTTGACAATTTCTCAAATTCTATTGAAGAGTTGTGAGCCGAGATTTTGACGTATTGTACGCCCTTCACATTCGGTTTCCTTGTATCGGCAACGACAACAACAACAATGATAATGGCATCGACGACGACGACAATAATGATGATGATGGCACTGAGGCAATTTAATTATGACTCGGGTAATTTGAATATTTATCGAAATACCAGAGTCTATTGGAAAAACTCCGAACACCACTTATGAACTATGTATGTGGATATGGAATGCAAAAAAGCTCTCGGTAGTGATATTTGAGTTTGCCATTAAGTGTTAACCTAGCAAACATGAAAAACAAAAAGATAAGTTGAGTAAACATGATTATAATGGAGCAGTTGGGGTTTCGAAAAAAAAGGAAAAAAACAGTTTTTTTGCTCGGTCCTGAATCGATGTGGTGGATGATTTAAATTCCATTCGGTCCTAAATCAACATAATTTCACATTTTTCTCCTATAAAAACTTTTTGTATTCATGGTGTGCGTTAAATAGAAGGTGATAAGGAATTCGTGTGGTTCGAATATGTCATATATGCTCTTTTGCCCAACATTTCCACAAGTTTCTGTCTATTTTGCTGAACCGAACGCTTCTTGCTTTTCATGAATTTATTTTCGAGTTTTTTTTTTCATTTATTAGACGAGTAAGTGTATCAACGAGCCACTCTGTCATAAATTCAAATAAAATTCATGTGGCCGAAAATGAGATCTTGAACATAATTTCAAAATTACAGTATTAGTGACCATAACAACGAGGTGATGATTAAGAATTCTCGTAAATACACACAAAATATGCGGTCAAATCAAATGAAGATGCGGTTATTAAGTAGTGTGCGGTCATATTTTCATGATTTTTATAATTTTGTGTTGGAATTTACCGCATTCATAGTAAATTTGATCGCACACGCATGAGCATGAAAATCAAACATCGAATTAACCGTGTACGAGTACCAATTCGTAATTGTAAAACATTTACGTCGAAAATATCAAATTATTTTTTGCTTAACAAATATTATTTGATTTCATAAGAAGATTTCAATAAAGAAGAACAAATAATATTACAAACTCCATCTTCATTTGTTAAGACCGCATATTTTTTTGTGTGTACTGGTGCCAAAAAAGATAAATAATAACTCAATGTTGAAAACGCACAAATGATATACAGTTCAACGCGCGAGCACACACACTCACACTCACACTCACACCGAATACAAAAAAAAAGTATGCATAAATTTGATTTGGGAAATTGTGTAGCCAAGTTATTGAAAAGCTCAGCAAAAAGTTACACAAAATACGATTTATTGATGACACGCTCGTTCTCGGTTTTGGAATTGAATTTTTGGGATTGAGATTTGGAAAAGAGGAAAAGTCATTTTGTGTGACAGCCTGACTTAATTCTAAGAACATGAGCGGATGATGAAAAACGAAGAATACGCTGAAGTGCGTGAGAGTATAGGAATGTGCCATCCATCTATTTCTTGCACATAAATTATTTGTTGAAATATACCATCCGCGCCAATACACACACACAAACAGTATTTTCTTGTTGAAAGAAGATTGAGCTTAGCTCCGCAATCCAAAGGAGATTTATTAACGTTAATGTCAAGTTCATTACAATAATAAGTTCAAGTGAAGAAAGACGAACAACGCAAGCAACAACGTACAACAAAAGAACGAAAAAATTATAGAGACAATCATAATACCGTTGTTCCCTTCAGCCATTCACAGTTCGTAATTTTGCGTTGTGCTAGCTGATACATTTCGGTTCGACAGGATATCAGACATTTTATGTATGCTCTATACTTATATCCTTTCTGTGCTTAATAAAGGATGTAATTTTGAATATGTAGCAAGAAACAAGAAAAGGAAGGCCAACAAAAAATACGATGAACGGAAAAAAAGAGGAACAAAAAAAAATCGAATGCTCGTTATATAT